ACCTGTTTGTAACCGTTTCGCTGAGATGGAGATATGATTCAACTCTGTCTATTAAATACCTTTGTAGCAGGATTTGTAACTAAGGTATCTTTCAAAAACACGTATACCTTTTAAAGGATTTCTACTCTATCATGATAGTCATATTAAGCCTTATGAATAACTGGCATCTGGATTGACAATTACAAATACAGTTCGTAAGGTTTTCTCATTCGTCCCACTCCACTTTTATTTAGCTTCGTTGTAGGCATTCTATTGGAGATAATGCTTTGTTCGTTCGATTTCCAGAGAATAAGCTACTAAGAGATCATTTATCTATGATCTGATCTTCAAACTTGTAGTTGTCCGTTGTTTATCTAATCGATTACAAGTACGTACGTTCATCAGTTCGAGTTGCCACACAACATTAGTACAGAGATGCAGTTGTCAATTCGAATCCCACAGTGAGAGGTAGTAAGAGTATAAGCAGTAGTCGGAAACATTAGGGTTTGAAGGTGTTATTCAAGGAGTATAATCCAGTGAAATAAATTTGGAAAGAGGAAGAAGAAAGGGACATGAAGAATTCAGAAGATTAGAATTTGGGAGAACATAATCAAGCTATATTGGTTAGAAAAATCGTTGTTTTTTTTGTCATATCAGACAGGTTGGATAAGAAAGTAGTGGAGGTAAAAGTAGGTAATCTAAGATCTAATGATGAAGTCGTACTGTTGACTATACTGAGAATTGATGAGAATGAGATAATTCATTCAGCCAACTAGCATCTCCAGTGAAACACAGTTCTCAGAACAGAAAGTATGAGTTAGAAGAAAAGTCATTGCTAAATGTTGAACACTTCACATTGCCCTATAAAGCTATTATATGAAATACGTTGACAAGGAGAAGTTGTCCCCTGAGATATGCCGTTACAGTTTCAGATCGTCAAGACTATATCTAACTCAATTTCTTTCCTCGGACGTTGTAATTTAAGTTAACTGACATTTAGGTGGATCTTTCCTTATGGTAGATTGAGGAAAAAATAACGTCAACCGACTACTGAAACTGTCAGACAACTGTTTATTTTAGAAAGAACAAAATCTACGTTTCCTTAGAGATTTAGTGACTCTCGAAATCGACTCGACGATGGATAAAAATACACCATATCGCCACAAGTCATCGTTGGAAAGGCTCGATAGACGACTGTTAATCTCTTGGCACGTGTTTGCCTGTGTTTTACAGGAGTCAGAAAAGACACAAAAGGAAGTCCGCTTAGAGTTCAACTCAATGATGAAGACGACCAGAGTATATTTAACGAGCAAATACAAAAGCACTTGATCAGTTACGAGAAAGCTGTTTACTTTGATATAGCTCGGCATGATATCCATAAAGTTGTGAAAACAACATTTATGTCTATCAGAGATTTTAACAAGAAGGTTAAAAAATATCATTGAGCCTCGGTAGGATCTACTAACATCAGTAGATAATCGAAATTTCATCCTATCAGACTCCAAAGCACAATGAGGAGTCAAGACAGCGTGAAACATGTCAAATACTTACTTCTTTCACTATAGATTGTACATAACACATGAAGCGGTGAGTTTTCGCCTCAATTTACTTTTTTTAAAGGTGCATTTTCAGACAAACTACTTTATTAACTGTCTGCTGAATAGAAGCCTAACTACTAAAGTAGGGATAGAAAAAAATAGATAACGACTTTTATAAATGAATTCCCTACATTATTGTCTCATAACTCCTCGTTAACTCTAGCAAATTCACCAATAAAGTTTTTTTTGGTTGAGGACTCCGTCGGCTGGATACCATCAGCGACAGCCTACTGTGGGAGGGAACAAACCAACTTCCGACTAAAGAAGAAATTAGGAAATAACGATGGAAGTGGATAGCACATAAATTACGGAAATCACCAAACTGCATCACGAAGCAAGCGCTAATTCTGAATCCTGAATGGAAACGGCAAAGAGGAAGACCAAACAACATACAACGTCGAGAATTCGAAGCAGACATGAAAAGAATGAATAGTGACTAAAAAAAAGATCGCCCAGGACAGAGTTCGATGGGAATGCTAGCGAGTGACTTATGCCACTCCACGAAGGGTAAAAGGTGTAAGTAAGGAAGTAAGATGACGATGAATTATATCTAAAACTATTTACGATTACAAGAAGGAATACTGTGGGACAGATAAACTTATACGAAGATCAACGAGATTCTGTTAGCAATAGTTCTATAAGATTATGATTCAAAAACTGATAATAAGAGTTAAAAGATGAATAAACCTTTTAGAATAACCGTATTTTAATAGGTTTCACTACTTACATTGGATGCATATAAACTATTTGTTCATTGGCTGAAAAGTGGTTTTAAAACCAAAAGTTCACTTTTGCATTGATTGTTTGAATTTTTTCGATGATGTTAAGGATTGTAATTGATCAGACTGTTATTGGCATATGTGCGTGCATCCTGTGAAGATTGCCTCGATATAACCTTAAGTGATAAGCATTGTAAGCAAAGATGGATAAGAGCTAGCAGTGGAATCCAGGAATTGTATTTCGTCCGATTCTAGAATTCCTCAGCTAGATGTACTTGCATCCCAGATTCAATGTTCACTCCAAGACTCAACACACAGTACCGTTCACTTTAAACACTACCACTTTGTCCACTTACCTACTGATTTAATTGCAGTCCTAAATATCAATCAGAAGATTCAGACAACCAATACAAAAATAAATTAAACTTCCTTTCATTACAAAAAGTTAGTGGCTATCTGAACTCAGTAGCTAAGTCGATAACTTGATGGAGTTTAGAGTGAACGGTACTGAGTTCAAGTCGCAGACTGAACATCAACTCTAAGATGTAGATACATGCAAATAATAAATCGAAAATAGAACTAAACACACGTCTTGGATCCAACTGCTAGCCGCCACCAACCATCATCATCATCATCATCATCATCATCACAGGTATACTGTTGGCTTAACTTTAAAGAATAGTTACACTAAAAAAAAACAACCTTTTTAACCTTGTATATCGATTCTATTCTATATCGTAAATGATACAATGTGTTATTGTGTCATTGTTAACTATCTAGTTACTTCATCCTATTGGAGGTTACAATATTTCAATTATTCATAGCTTTATCTTATTTTATTTTTTTCCCAACTAGCAAATTTATTCTTCTTTATAAACCTTTTCTTTTCTTTTCTTTTCTCTTTTTTTTTGTTTTTTTTTTGTCGTAGGAAAAAAGTCCATGCCGCGATTTCTTTCCCTTCACAATTATAATAAAGCAAAACTAATTAAGAATTCAAAAACCAAAAAAAAAATAATCGTTATATACTCTCTCTCTATATACGCAACAACAACAACAACAACAAGTCTAAATCCAATTGGATACAACTCAAATACTTCCCAATTAAGTTAATATTAAAGATAATAATAATAATAATTGGATAATCAAAATGCTTAAGGCCAAGGTAACAATAACGATAAGACGTACTTCTTTTGTACACATAGTTCTGGTTTAAGCTCCTGGATGGGGTAAGAGCTTCGGCTATTTTTAAAAAGTTAGATGCGAAGAAATCTGGGTAGATTTGAACGAATCATATAAACAACCTTAAATTCATTTTTTGGATCTGTGGAATAGTTACAGTCGATTAGGTGTTGAAGTATAGGTTGTTTATATGATTCGTTCAAATCTGGGTAGATTTGAACGCATCCAACTTTTAAAAATAACCGAAGCTCTTACCCCATCCAGAAACTTAAACCAGAACTATGCATACAAAAGAAGTACGTCTTATCGTTATTGTTATCTTGGCCTTAAACATTTTGATCATCCAATTATTATTAATATTAAAGAGTCTAATCATTTTTGACTCAGTTACAAAAGTATGAAGAAAATTTGAGAAAAAGAAAAACAAAAAGTTAAACTGTGTTATTCATTGATCTAATAAACTATGATGGGTATTCATATATTTGGTTTCTAAGGTCAGATTAAGAATCAACCAAAGTGAATGACAGTTTTTCTTGTATTTGTTTCGATGGTATTCACGCAGTTTGAAAAATTTTTTATTTCAAAAAAAAAATGGCCAATACTAGAGAACCTTTTATCAGCTGCTGTTTAAGAAAGTGTTCTCGTCATTGAAAGGCATTTAAAATGAAGTTCCAGTTTGTTTATAAGTTCAGCTTGTGGATGAGGTAAGTAATCAAGTGACATTTTTGTATGTTAATTAAAGAGATGATAATATAAATTGAAAAATGTCAACTTACCAGGAACTATCTGTACCAACTACTAGGACGAAACATATGTTATGGATTCCACTGCTAACCACTATCCATCTTTTTTTATACCAACACTATTTTACATTTTGGGGTGGAATTGGATTATGTTACTAGAGCTTAGATAACAAAGTATGCAGCTTCAATCATATTACACATAGTTGAACACATGATGAGTTTTTATTTTACCTGGAGCCCCTCTGGGGCTACTGTCGATCCCAAGCCCGGATAAGGGGGGAGGGTTAGGCATGGGGTTATAGACCTCATCCCGTAGAAAAAACCGCTAACCAGAAAAAAAAGCAAGTAAATTTATGATATTTTAAGCAATGGAAAACACCTGACTGCGTCCCAAGGCAAGCATTCACTTGGAATCCTCAAGGTCAAATGATAAGAAGAAGACCAAAGAACACATTATTCCGAGAAATGGAGACAGACATGAAAAAAAAGAACAACAATTGGATACAACTAGGAAGGAAAGCCCAGGACAGAGTGGGTTGGAGAATGCTGGTCGGCGGCCTATGCTCCTTTGGGAGTAACAGGCGTAAGTAAGTTAGGTCGGCTAAGAATTTGATCATTAGCTTTAACATGTGTGGTGTTATAAAATGGTACTAACTGAAATGTACAAAATAATTAATGATTATTAGTCGAATGTTACACTAGTTATCATTTCAGTTATCTATGTAAAGTAAAAGAAAAAAACAACAACAGTATAGTTACATAAATCAGTAGGCAAAACTTACAATGGATCTGTTATGGAAAATTCAATCGATTTAGGTGGACGTTTAGGAAATTGCCAAAATGGTGCTAAATAATGATAGAAAAAACAAATTCGGAAAGATCTTTACTTGGAAACGGAAAACAACAACAAAAAAATAAACAAAAAATGAAAGTATAATAAGTAGTTTAAATCCCATTATTATACAATTCAGGTCAATTTCCATAAAGGGCCACAATAGAATATAGATTTCAAGTAAATTTAATGTTATTACATGGTTGAAGAGAATCGACAGATAGAACGATCCGATCATCATTGCAGTTACTTCAGTATTGTGTTTGAATTCTGTATATTGCAATTATCTAATCGAGGTCTTAAGTTCAGTGATAGCATACATAGAACTACTCACAAAAAGCATTGTGTGAATGAGTTTCAGTGGTGATTGCTTTCAGTTCTGTGGTGAAGTTCTTCAATAAAACAAAATCATCTTTAATTTAGTTTGCTTTTTTTTTTACTTATAATGTGAAGAACCGAGAATTGATAAACGTTTTCATACCAATAAGAGCATCCAAGACTGACTAGTCGAGTTTAGATTTGTCCTCTGTTGGTTGATACTTATCCGTGAGAAATATTTGAAATTTTAAGAGAACTGATGTTGACATTGAAGACATTACTACTAGGTTATATAGATCATAACACAGTTACCAGTCAGTGAATATTCAACAATTTTGTAATGCTAAGCCTTAAAAATCATCATCCTCCAATCACAGTTTTCTTGATTTACCTCTTATGGTACTCACAATTGATTTTCAACTTCCGTAATAATTTACAGTATATTTGAATTATGAGCTATGAGAACAGTCTAGAATGTGCACTTTGATCAATTTGAGACTATTCAGTCGGATTACAAAAATGTCCCAGTGTTGATTATCACAATGAGATTCGAACCCAAGTACGCAGCACTTTAAACATTAGCATTAGTAGTAGAAAACGTTAGGCTAATTCAATATGATTTGAGAAAAGATAAATTTTTAGAATAGAAGGAAACCTAAAAAAAGATTATTTGAAAATTCAAATAGGGAGTGAATCCATCTACACCATTGTAACTGATTATAGGTCAGGTCATACAGTATCTTCAACTAATGATTATAACATTGGAAGTTTCATCAACCTTGATGAGTCGGTTACTGGAAAATTTTCTGTACGGTCAGCCAGCTTACGTCAATGTGTCATAAACGAACTATCTGTCCGCCAAACAAATGCTGGTTCGTCTGTTAAGCAGTTTTCTCCATTCTAATCTATGAGTGTTAAATGTAGTGCTCAGAAATATAGGATACTTGTAAGTTACTAGTATTTCATCACAGACTCCTTTCAAAGTATTTCTTATGTATGTTGGGACTATCTAACTAGCAACCCTAAGGTTATGCATAAAGTACAGGGTAAGAATAGCAAATCTATTGGTCGGGTAATCAATCTTCATCGACTGATGTGAATGGGACATACATTATGTGGCCCCATCCACCACACAACTTCGACATCGGATGATGAGTGCTGTGGGAATAGGTTGGGACTTGATAGTCTAAACCTAACAACACTGCCCAACCTAATTCCCAATGAATTTACGGATTTACTTTATATTTCGATTTGCCTATCCCTAGAATTCCTTAAACCTTCTCCTACATCAAGAAACATTGTACACTGAGATCAATGATAGTTAGAAGCACATAAATTCTGTCTCAACCATCTCAGATGATGAAAACCAACTTCAAATCAGATCATCATCAAAAATGCAATAGAATTTTGAATGATCTCAAAAGATAGGTGGATAGATAGAGACTGAGATAAGAATGAATGCCAGAGGGTAAAAGAGATAGTGTATCTATGTGATAGAACTATATATATATATATAAATATATGAAATTGTCATATTTAATAATGTGAATCAAATATAGAATTAGAAACTAAGCAAGAACATTACACTCTACCAATAACAATGGGAATAAAAAAAATTTTTTTTTCCCAGATTGAAGCATAAATTGGTCAACCATGGAACTTCAAAGGTCAGTTGAAATTTTTCTTATTATAATTAGATCATCATTATGTGTATAGATATGTATAATATGATTAATTGAATTCATTCTCATCTCTCTTTCTCTTCTTTAAGTAACTAGCAATGCATACAATATGACAGACACGCACGTACACAGAGTGAGAGAGGGGGGAAAGAGAGAGAGAGAGAAGGAAAGTGAGAAGAGACTAAAGGCAACAGAGAGAGAGGGGGGAAAGTGAGAAGAGACTAAAGGCAACAAGAATCAGGAGAGATAAAATTCAATTATATCTATTTGCCTAGAATGAACCTTCTATTTTTAAGGGAAACTAATTAAATGTAGAATGAGATGAATGAAGAACAATCAGAAGAAAAAAAAAGAAGAAAACTTGACAATTATTGAATATTTACATATTTCAATTCAAGATAAATAAAAATATTTTCTATGGTGATTTCTTCGAATGGGTAGTAACAATGAAAGAACAATTAGGTATTAAGGTAATTTATTTAAACAACTATTGGAAATTAGGAAGTACTAGATAGTTTGTTTGGAGTACTGAAAGGAAGCGGAAAAATAGTAAGGCCAAAGAACACATTATGTCGAGGAATAGAAGCAGAAGAATGAATAAAAACAGCAAAGCCCTGGAAAGGATTACTCAAGACATGGTTAGATAGAGAGTGCTGGTGGGCAGCCTATACTCCACCACGAGGACTAACAGGTGTAAGTAAGACAGCTGTTTAGTCTTTTTCTATAGAGTGACCCTATAACATTGGGATTGAGAAATGTAGATCACTGAATGATAGTTATTTACTTTGAAAGTTAAGCGCAATATATTAGAGAGTTCAGGGTATGATGACCAGTAGGCTATTTCCTTGTTTGTTTAATGATTGTTTAGGTAAAGCCAATCTGTGCTAGTGGTTCAACCGACGGTTAGAGACCTTGAATGAAATGGCTCAAAATCGTTTGAAATGGCGCAGGTGCATCTACTCTTCGTGTTTTCCCAAATTCTAATCTTCTGAATTCTTCATGTCCCTTTCTTTTTTCTCATTCCTAATTTACTTCACTGGATTATACTCCTTGAATAACATCTTAAAACCCTAAAGTTTCCGATTACTGCTTATACTCTTACTACCTCTACCACTACGGAATTTGGGTCGACAATTGCAACTCTGTGCTAATGTGATATGGCAACTCGAACTGATGAACGTACGTACTTGTAATCGATTAGATAAATGACGGACAACTACAAGTTTGGAGATCAGATCATAGATAAATGATCTCTTAGTAGCTTATTCTCTGGAAATCGAACGAACAAAGCATTATCTCCAATAGAATGCCTACAACGAAGCTAAATAAAAGTGGAGTGGGACGAATGAGAAAACCTTACGAACTGTATTTGTGATTGTCAATCCAGGTGCCAGTTATTCATAAGGCTTAATATGACTATCATGATAGAGTAGAAATCCTTTAAAAGGTATACGTGTTTTTTGAAAGATACTTTAGTTACAAATCCTGCTACAAAGGTATTTAATACACAGAGTTGAATCATATCTCCATCTCAGCGCAACGGTTACAAACAGGTATTGGAATATGTCTATATTCTGGAAAGAACCGAACGGTAAAGATTCAGTGTGAAGAAAAACTTCACGAGACGGTGATTTTATCAAAAGCAAAACATATCCGCAAACATTCCAAACTCATTCTTAATAAAAACCTCTTTAAGGCAAAACTGAACAGATAGTAAATTAAACCATCAATGATTCGATAAACGAAAGACACTTTCTAGTGGAGTATTTATGGCAGGATAAAAAACATTGAGTGGAAATGAAGAAGAACTGATGAATTCGAAGTTGGAACTATCTTTAAGAAAACGTATTTTACAACCCATCAAACAGTGAAAAGAACATAGAACTCAATTGTTAATAAGCTTGTTAGTTCAATCGAAGAACATATCCTCCGCCTAAGCGTCAACAAAGAAAAAGCAAAGACAACAATAGTACGTTAGCAAATTAAAGATAGTCAGTAGAAAATCTTTCTTGGTCTATATTTCGTGCTAGTTGGTGCTCGTAAGCAAGGCTTACCAGCAATCTTGAAGGATTGATGCTCCTTGCTAAATATGAACTTAAAAATCGTAAATAATATATATTCGAAGTATCTCAATCCCACAGGAGTTCAGCTACGGCATGAATAGCTTTAAGGCTGAGTGATCTACGTTCGTATCAATACTCTCAACATCTTGCTGACGAGTACCAACTAGCAAGAAACCACTTAACATCTCACTGTATTGTAGACGATATCAAGTCACTGAAAGTAGTTGTTAACCTCTCAAGTTGATCGTTAAAGTTGGATCATTAATTGAGACGAAACTACAAACAACATAACTTTGGTTACCACAATAGTATTCAGAAGAGAAAGAACACTGAAGAAAATCTTATGAGGTTAAAATCATATTAAAACTTACCTCCATTTGATAATTTTGTATCGATGGGGAAAGAATGTAACAATTGACGAGCCTTAACAAGAAAAACAAAACGAAACAAAAAGAAGTGAGGAATGAACAAACAAAAAAAGATTGGCTTAAATCATTACAAGTGATTATGTAAGATTAGTTTTCATTCAATTAACTAATGATAGGAAACGATTGAAATCTGATAGTTAGATATTAATCTCGTTGAATGATCTCCACAGTAAACCATTTTCAAAACAACAACAAAAACACTTAAATCCTATCATGTTTCTTGTTTTTCCCATTGAAATGGTTTATAATCATGTGCAGATATTTGTGTTTCTAACATCTTTCAATATATAAATCAGAAAATGAATAAAAAGAACTTTGTGTTTCTAATCGATTGAGTTGTTTATTGAACAGTGGTTCAAGTCAATGTATACTCTAAGTACGCTCTCAAATGTTCTGGTAAGGCCGAAGGTGAGGAGAGTCACCTATCCCACTCCAAATGCTCTCACATGACCACGTACATAAAAACCACTTTCATAGAAGTTTTACTCACTGATTTCTCGCGGCATGACTGTTGTTTACAAAATTGAGAGGACGAAAAGTGAATATTCAGCGCTCTAACCTGGGAGTTGGAAAACCCTGATTCCTAACTAAATAGTGTATGAACCGATTGTTGGTCACCAGCTACCATGGGACTGCATCTCCCTACGTTGCTCCATTGCATTGTGGATCAGGATTTCAGGTCAAATGTTCCGGGTGTGGTCCCCTAAGAAAACACCTGCTTCGGTTTGAGCACCCGGTAAGTATCTCAGCCCTCACACAATTCGAATGAATAGTTTATGTGTCGCATATCTATTTACTGCCTTCTTGTAGCAATGTTTATATATCTAGATAAATACTTCAAGTACGAACTACAAATATAATGTAGAAATAAATTTGTAAACTGCTCCAAAGTGTTTACCACATTAGTGAAGAATTACTTTTTACCAGTACAGAGTAAAAATGATAATGTTAATAGTATCAAACCCTTAATTCTGTCTGTTTGGACTGTAGATCACAGGTAAATAGACTCTATCCGCAAGTCTTAGTCTTAGGCAAACTTCATTCATCTCTATGGTTATACAGCATATTTATATCACAGTTGATGTTAGTTTGCGTCAGAGCTTATGTCAATTATTGATGGAAACTCTAAATCTAAACGCTTAATTTTGATCCTAACTAAGAACAATATGGGGACTCTTGAAAATCTGTTTCGGACCTTTCAAATGTTCGAGAATGTTGATAATCTATATCCATTAAGATGAATTTGTGACTGGTTATTTTCGAGTTACAGTAAGAGTAACCTGTATAAAATATTAGTTCAAATAATACTCACGTACTATCTATTTACGCTTTGTAATATTATAGTTTTCTTTTCCATAAAATATCCATTTATATAAGCTGTTTCCTGATTGACTGGAAACTAGCTGGAAATTCGTCGTGATTCTTTTGAAATCTTTCCTTTAGTATAGTTTTATTGCAGTTCATTTAAGAAGGAACCTATGTGTATACCTCAGTTATAGCTCAGTAAGATATCAGTGTAAATGGACAAATTATATATAAATTCAAATGCCGACTGAACAGTTAAACGGTAATGTAACACAAAATGATCAGAGTTTCAATCCCCTCAGTCAGTCAGTCAGCTACAACGTAGGATCAGGCACATATATGCATCGGTCCAAGTTGCCACACCTCATTCGCACAACAACATGAACACCAAATTCATAGAAGTAGTATACTCAGTCCAGAAGATACAGGTGTTTATTAACAGTTGTCTGCGCAAAATACTTCGGATCCGTTGGCCGGACACTATTAGCAACAACCTACTGTTGGAGAGGACAAACCAGATCCCAGTGGAGGAAGAAATCAGGAAGAAGCGCTGGAAGTGCATAGGACACACATTGAGGAAAGCACCCAACTGCGTCACAAGACAAGCCCTCACATGGAATCCTCAAGGCCAAAGGAAAAGAGGAAGACCAAAGAACACATTACGCCGGGAAATGGAAATAGACATGAAGAAAATGAACAAGAATTGGATGGAACTAGAAAAGAAGGCCCAGGATAGAGTGGGTTGGAGAATGCTGGTCGGCGGCCTATGCTCCATTAGGAGTAACAGGCGAAAGGAAGTAAGTAAGTATACTCAGTAGTGGTAATATATAAAAGAAAGATTGCATATAATGATATAGTACAGGAAGAAAGAATTAGTTCAGAGAAAGAAAGATATGAAGCGATTTTAATCTCTTAGTTTAAGGGAAGACAGAGAGTGCATACACCGATGCCATTGTAATCGATTCTGAGTCATGTCACCAAGAGTCTCCAACCGTTGGTTACGATAGTCACATGGACCCCAACCAAGTAGACTGCATCTACCAGCGTGGCTCAGACTAGAAGTTAGGGACTTCAAGGACTGATACCGCGTTTTGGTTTGGCCACACCTAACTTTCTTTCAACTATCCCCTACACCGGTTAGCATTGCCTATTGTGGTAATCGATGGTGGGGCGTGTGTAATACGTAGTCCGACCATCTCAGTGGATGAAGATTCACAACCTCATCAACTGATTTACCATCGTTCTCTAATATCCTGCGTCTAACCTCACTATTACTTACCCGGTGGTCCCAGGAGATGTGAGCAACGTTTCTAAGGCATCTGTGATCAAATAGAACTTTATGTAAAACTTGTAAATATACTAAGGTTTTACTTATTGCGGTTCCTGTTTCCATCCACCATTGTTTTTTGGACTATATTCTTATTCCTATTCAATTGTGTTCTGATTTGAGGACTTTTCGAGTGAATCCTTAGCAATAAGAGTAGTTAGATCGTACTAAGAGAAATCGTAACAGCTTTCAATGTAAGAAACAAACAAAAGTTTTTGAAAGACAAATATCATTCTTACTTTATGATTAAAGTTATGTTGAAATTTATCACGGGCTAAATATAAACATTGATTCCATGTAGATGGACGTGAGCATAAAAATCGTCCAATATTGGGATTTAATTGATCTTGTAATAAATTTATCCTTTCAATCCAGTTTTTCATTAAAATTTTATCATTAGAATACATCTTTGATGTAACAATTACATTACTATTATTATTACTACTATTATCATTATCAGTAGTAGTAGTAGTAGTAGTGGTAGGACAATTGGTAGCAATATCATTGCATAGATGCATTAAAAATGTTAAATCTGATATTAATTGATGCGTTTGTTGTTTCGATGTTTGTTCACCATGGCAACTGTCCACATATTCACATTGTTCTAAATTCCAAGCTTGTAGAAATGTTTGTAATTGCATGGGTTTCAATGTGAATTGACTAGCAAACTAAATTGGTATTTGTTTACATAATGAAGAGAAAATACAAAAGAAAAATAAACGAATAGAAAAACTAAAACACACCAAATGAAAAAATCAAAATAAACAAATGGAATCTTTTGAGAGTAGATATTTCTGATGACATTTGTGATTGTGGAAAAAATTGTACACTAGTGCTAAATAACGTGTGTAAACTGTTGTTACTACCTGGTTGTTAGATGTTCTTTCGAAGGCTTAATGAGGAGGTTGGATAAGGCATAATCTTGATGGTCAAGGAGAGCGATCACAAAACTCAAGAAATATTTGTTTAAGGCGGATCACACAGTCTTTTCTCGAATAGTACTTGATATGTGCTTATGATTTAGTTAGCCTAAGTTTTGAATGTCAGTTTATGACTAATGGAGTTGTAGGAGGTAAGATAAGGTTCATCAGTGACATAAAACAATGTTTGCATGACATCATTAACTAAGTGAAGTTGAAAATTCAGCTAATTCAATAGTCACGAAGCAGGCCAGACGATTGTGATGACAATTAATCTTGAAAACCAAATAAACAATTACCCTCAAATGCCCTGGTACGGCCGAGAGTCTGCTCTCCCTCTCCAAATGCTCTCACATGACCACGCGTATATAGCCTCTGTCAGGGAAGTTCTACTCACCGACTTCTCGTGGCATTACTGTTGTTTACAAAATTGAAAGGATGAAAGTTCAATGTCTGGCGCTTTAATCCGGTTGGTGGATATGGAGGATCCACCTAGGGGAGTTGGAAAACCTTCATTCCAAACCAATGTTCCACATGGGCTCCAGTATCCTGAAGAAACAAATGGCGTATGAACCAATTGTTGGGCACCGGCTACCATGGGACTGCATCTCCTTACGATGCTCCACTGCCCTGTAGATCTGACCTTCAGGTCGAAGGTAAATTTAGGAACATTAATTATTTACTGGAAAAGTGTTCTGTCATCAGAAGAAATGGATAGGAAGTTACAAAGCTACATTAATTTAAGGACTTAATGAAACGTTATCGACATAAAACAATGATTGTTTTTATGAGATTTCAGTGAAAAAGTAATACGAGTTATAAATTCTATTAGGTAAATAAAATATATTACTTATAAGTAATTGAAAATTTTAATCATGAGTTGATTTAAGCGATATCACCATTGAAAACTTGGAAGCATTACACGCCCGTTTAGTCTTAGTATGAGGCTCCTCAGTAGCGTGAATCCACGATTTCGTACGCAGGACTTGAACTTAGGACCTCTGGCCGTTCAGTGCTTCCAGATTTGCAATGGTGATTTAGCTAAGATCGGCTCATGAATTGAACTATTAAAATTACTACAATGGAAGAAACAGAGTAGAGTTAGAAAAGTAAGTATTAAAATTATTGCATGATTGTTGGTCATTGTATGCAATAACAACTATCTTACTACAAACACTGTTGAACGTGTTCGGTTATGGCTTCTCCATAGGACATCAAAATTTTTGTAGAAGTCAATACAATCATTTAATTAGCTAACATAGATATCAAAATCCCATTGAATTATCCTAGTTCACATAATTCACGATGAATGAGATGTTATTAACTTACAGGGTCCAAAATCTAATGACTCATATAATGTAGACACTAAGGAATTCGTGACATGAAGCAATAATCAGTTAATATTATTAGTAAGGGAATATATCACCTCTGACTTGGTTGAATATACTACAGATTATGATATCACAATAGAAAGTTGCGAAATCCTATCTTGAAGAAACTTTATCCATAAATAGTTTATGCTGTACAACTATATTTTTTCAAAATCAAATAAATGTTTACAAACATCAGCTAAAACTTTATTTCAGAATGGGATTTGTGGAGAATGTAGTCATTTTAATAGTTGACTTTATGAATCGATGTAAGTTAGACCATCATTGAAAATCTGGAAGCACTGGACGGCCGTCTCATTGTAGTACGTGACTTTTCAACAATACAATCCGTGTCAGGTAGAGACAGGTATCGAACCCAGACAATGGATAAATGAACCATTCATGGATCGATTGTAGTCAGACATTAACATCGTGGAATACCGGGCTCAGTGGTCCAAAGGTTAAGCATTCGTGCACGAAACCGAAGGCCCTGGGTTCGATTCCCGAGTGCCGGGTCATGGATGCGCATTGCTGGGAAGTCTCATGCAACGACGAAACAGTCGTCAGGTTCTTCTATGTTTCCCATGGTGATCTAGCTTACATTGACACATATATTCAACTAATAAAAAGTTTATTTAACACAAAAGTTATATTTTTGGAGAACAAATCAACTACACTTCAATTCATTCCTATTCAATAGTTAATTTTTTTTACTTTTTACTTATTCATTAGACAAAAAGACAATAGATCTGTAAAATTGTTTTGGCAAATATTTATTCGATTCATCAGACAATTCATTACATAAACATTATTTCTCATATGGGTATCCACCTACCCTAAATTATCCTTAAATAAGATAGACAATAGCAATCAGTCAGGAACGAGTACATTTTTAGTCAATACGAGACAATAATGTGAATAGGATAAACAATGAGAGAGAGAGAGCAAGAGTGTGTGTGTGTGAGGGAGAGAGAGAGAGAAGGAGTGGGAAAAACGAAAACATCAGAATTTGATGCAGATCGGTCTAAAATGAACACAATGAACAGTGAAACATTCAACAACAACAACAACAGCAACAAAAACTTTACGAATTATTAAAATCTCACTTGATACAATCTGATATACATGAGATTAGAAATTAAAATAGACAGATACTTGGTATATTTGATCTTTAATTATTAAAATGCAGGTTCGAACCCCCTTTTATTGTTAAATCTGCTTCCGTACGGGCATAAGGGAAGTGATATCAAACCCTAAACAAAAAAGTATGACATCAAGTCGGCTGTAAATGATTAACTACTTGGTAATTGAGTAAAAAAATTATTTGTAAATGATGATAGGAGATTGAATGTCCAAATTTCTTTTAGGACATACATTTCAATAATGTTGTATGGATTACACGAGATCATTTCAATATCTGTGTGTTATACTTGTGAACGCCAGTTAGAGAACAGTGAATTGTCAACCGGACCAAGGATGCGTGAAACCCGTACGAACAGTCTAGAGTCCTTAATGGTCCTGCTTTCTGCCTAGCCCTGCCTGTCAACTTGAGAACACCAATGTCAGCCTCTGCGTATGAATCATTATATTTCAAACATACTGGGTTTATATATCAACCAAGCAGGCCAAATCGTACCATAAAATAGGAAACAACATTTGTACAAGAATTAACCAAATAAGGCTGTGGATGAGGGAGGTAGTAATTAATAAACAGGGCATAATTCAAGAATGGCAAATCGTGTAGTAATAGTTCACAGGTCAAAATAAAGCTTATGATAAGAGAGACATGAATATGAATAGTTTAGTTACGTAACAATTATACGATAAAAGTATACGCATAGAATTGGTCCATGAAAGGATCCCAAAAGTTACCATTCATTGTGCTTATCGGAACCTAACACTATATTACTATTATCCGTGAAAATGGTTAATATCAGGAACTGATTCCAGCTAATATAGCCATTGTGAACTAGGAAACATTGGTTATAAGTGTCTTTTACAGACATAGGACTCTTTTGTAGAACAGATCCTACGGCTCTACTTGTTATATCCCGATGACAATAACGAGTGGTAACTTTTGGGATCCATTATGGACCAATACTATACGTATACTTTTATCGTATAATTGTTAAGTAACTAAACTATTCATAATCGTGTTCCTCTTGTCATAAGCTTTATTGTGACCTATGAACTGCTATTATACTATTTACCATTCTGGAGTTATGCCCTGTCTATCGATTACTACCTTCCACATTCATAGCCACTTTTGGCTAATACTTGTACAAATGTTGTTTTCTATTTTGTGGTGCGATGTGGTCTCTTTGGTTTGTATATAAACCCAGTATGTTTGAAATAAATGATTCATATCGCAGAGGCTGAGATTGGACCATTAAGGACTCTAGATTGTTCGTACGGGTTTTACGCGTAATTGGTCCGTTCGATAATTGACTGTTCTCTGATTGGCGGTATCATTATGTCATATATTAATAGGACACAGGGCATAAGTTATAATACTATCGAACCTCAGTGCCAGAACTCATTAGACTAATCGCAAGAGCGTTATCTTTAGATGATCTAGTTAACATTCAATGAATTACAAGAACCAAAATCAGTAAATTCACGGTATTGCACGATTATCGCTAGCGTAAACACCGACAAAACCAGAAAATACATGTATAGCATGAACAACTAATTATGTATGAAAGCTATGAAATCGCCAATTGACTATGTATGGAAATGTGAACATTTTGTTTACTATGATGAACATCACAACATAAATAAATTTAATGATTAAACTCACTTTTTCACGTGCCCATTCAATACAATGAATTGGTAAGGTTGGAAATGATTTCAATGTACAATATGGTATTGTATTCACTTGATTATCAATATTTCCATTACCATCTACATCATTGTTATTATGAACATCATCATCCATTTGACTATTATATGATTCAGTAATATCAGGTAAAATTACTTGAACATGACCTTTAGTACCTAAAGTACCAGATTCAATCAATGGTAAATGTAGTGTTACACAACGTGAATCTAAATAACGACGTGTTGGTACACAATCTAAAGCAGCTAGTATAATACCATGTTTATATGAAGGAGATGTTATCCCTTGTTTGTAATTAATGCATTTTGTTGCTTGTAATAAAAATTCATCAGTGAAAATAGTCTTTTCAGTATTTGGCCAAACTGGAAATTGGGGAAAAACGAAAAAACAAACAAACAAACAAACAAAAAAATTGGCAGAAATGAAAAGAATAAAACTGTGGATAGATTCGATTAAATTAATTTCTATCTTAGGAGGCTATGAGGATAGTTGAAGTTCAACGTTTCACATAACGAACTTACTTTGGTGCGAGTATCATTGAAAACTAGGAAGCGATATAGAGCTATCTAATCCTAGTACAGGACTCCTCATCAATGAACGTTGATGACTCCATGAAGAATTGAACCCAGAGTTTTAAGGCTCCACATCAAGGAGTTAACGTTCGGACATGGAATTCAAATGAAAAGCCATGATGTATAGAGTTCGGTCACGAGACAACTAACACCAGTCGCAAACGATAATAGACCGGCAAGATTTCAAATTGAAATTAGAAATGAAAACCGCTGGATGTCAAATCGGTAGTCTAGAATTTAGGTGATCACTGAGATGTCTGAAGACCATGGGTTCAACTCTAGGCAGGATAGGGGATAAGGACTGGTAAGGTATTCTAAACTAGGGTGAAACAACCCTTCGGTAATTCCTGGTTCCCAATAGTTCTCTAAACAAGTTGATTGTGTAATGTCAAACTATAAACTCAATGAATTTTTCTAATTTTAAATGAAAATAATTTGACTGCATTGTATTAATCAATGGATGTGTAACGGTTAAGAAATCTATGAATAGCTTTGTAATTCTTCAACATTGATACTGAATACTGGATACACTCCTAGGCTGAAGGCCTCGCGTTAAGCATCCGCACTACATCACACTGAGATACCTTGTGTTGTGCATCTCCTACAATAAATATTCAGCTTACATTTCATACACTAAGATACATTGACCTATAATTCAAAATGTACTTTGATATCCTGTTATTTTCGACATTATGCTTTTACTGGTTTTTAGATCATTGAGTAAGGAAAGATTTCGGAAAGTAGCATTTCCAGATTTCGCGTGTCTGCTATCCTCTTCAGATGTACCTGAAATAGACTTAGACAAATGATGATATCATACTTGCTGCAGGGAGATAATACTGTCCCATCCTTCAGTATTACCTCTTAATAAAATCTGTCGTTTTACAGAATGTTGATAATAAAATTTTCTTACAACTAAACTCAATATGATGTTAATAATGAATTTTGGAAAGCGAAAAGGCGTATATAAATTGAATGCCCTGGTACGGCCGAGAGTGGGGAGAGTCCGCTCTCCCTCTCGAAATACTCTCACACGGCCACGCGTATACAGCCTCTGCCAGGGAAGTCCTACTCATTGCCTTCTCGTGGCGGGGGTGTTGTTTACGAAAATGAGAGGACGAAAACCGAATGTCCGGTGCTTTAACCGGATTCCAAATCAATGGTGCACATGGGCTCCAGTATCCTGCGGGAACGAATGGCGTATGAACCAATCGTTGGTCACCGGCTACCATGGGACTGCATCTCCTTACGATGCTCCACTGCCTTGTGGGTTAGACCTTTAGGTCAAAGGCTCGGGGGGTGGCCCCCTAAGAAAACCACCTGCTTCGGTTTGGGCACCCGGGCAGTATCACAGCCCACACACAAACGATGAACTCTATGTCTTTGGCAACTACTTTTCTCGCTCCGAAAAACAAAAACAATCAATCGATTCAAATAATTATCATTACTATTATTATTGTCATTATTGATACTATTATTATTACTATTATTGTCGTTATTATTATTATTATTATTATTATTATTATTTCCCACATTATTCACCCTCTTTCATACTTATACAGCGGCTCGGCTTTGGTGGAAATTCGACTGTATCTAAACGTTCTCGAGTCACTGTCCGGTTGAAAGTTGTATGTTACCATCGAATATGAGTACTGAAGCAGTTTTTCTGAAACCACGTGCACCATTCAAACTGGCTGCCTTCAACGTTCGCACACTTATGCAGGTTGGTCAACAGATAGGGCTGGCTATGTCTTTGGAAAGTCTTAATATTGATGTTTGCTGTCTATCCGAGACCCGTATTCAAGACTCTAGCGAAGTACTACAAATTCGATCTCCATCTGTCGATTCAAAAAGCTTGTTTTACGTGCGCTTATCCGGGGACCCTGTGGCATCTTCGTCTGGTCTTGCTGGCGTTGGTGTCGCACTAAGCGCTAGAGCTGAGGCAGCACTAGTCGATTGGATCCCCATTAACAGTCGGTTATGTGCTGTTAGATTAGAAAGTTCCATCAAAGTGAGAAGAAATCGGCGTGAGAAACGATGTCTTTTCGTCATCTCCGCCTATGCCCCGACAGATTGCAGCCCGGATGCAATCAAGGATGAGTTTTACCACCAGTTATCAGTTCTTCTCCAGAAAGTGCGTTCGACAGATATTGTAGTACTAGCCGGAGACTTGAATGCTCAGGTCGGGCGTCTAGGCACAGAAGAGAGTCGTTTAGGTGGCCGATGGGGACTCGTTGGTCGCAGGTCAGATAACGGGGACCGTCTACTGCAACTTTGCACAGACCACAACCTGTTTCTGGCTAGCACTAACTTTCGGCACAGTCATCGCCGATGTGCCACCTGGCGTCCTCCCTCTGCATCTCAAGCCTGGACTCAGATTGATCACATCGCGATCAGCTACCGCTGGCGTGGTTGTGTACAAGACTGCCGCTCCTTTTGGAGTACCTATCTGGACTCTGACCATGCCTTGGTCTGCGCCAATCTTGCCTTACTTTTCAGTGGACAACGAAGTGAACGCCATCAACGGATTGATGTTAGCAAGCTGGTTGCAACTTCTGTTGCAAGTAAGTATCGAACCGAGCTAGCCTCTAGGCTAGCTACCACTCCACCGAAAAGTATAGATGAGCATTGGTTGCAATTGCATGACGCCATGAAAATGGCGGGAACAGTCAGTTGTGGGTTTGCGAAACGTCCCGCTTATAAGCACTGGGTTTCTTCAGGCTCCTTACATCTCATTGAAGCCCGTCGGTCTACTCCGGGTAACCGTGAGTTTGACCATAAACGAAGGATTTTACGTAAGGAAATCGGGCAAAGCTTGCGTAAGGACCGAGAAGCCTGGTGGTCGATGCGTGCTAATGAGCTGGAAGCAGCAGCTGCATCTGGTAACTACCGGAAGCTCTTCCAACTCATCCGAGCCACTGGCAGCAAGAAGTCTGGTGTGAGTGAAACAATCTGCGAGGATGATGGGATGCCAATCACTAACATCCATCGACGTCTTGGACGATGGGCAGAATTTTTCGAAGGGCAGTTCAACTGGCCTGACATTCTGGAAACAGCTCTGATGAATGTAAGTAATGGTGGTGTGGATCTGTTGCTTGGAGAAAGACTTCTCGACCTTGAGTATGCGGACGATATTGTCTTACTGTGCGATAATGCTCAAGGCATGCAATCCGCACTTAATCAGTTGGCAATCAGTGTCCGTAGGTATGGTATGTGCTTTGCACCTTCGAAGTGTAAAGTACTTCTACAAGACTGGCAGGATTCTAATCCTGTACTCACCCTGGACGGTGAGCAGATAGACGTAGTTGAGAAGTTCGTGTATCTAGGTAGCTGCATAAGTGCTGGTGGGGGTGTGAGTGATGAGATCAATGCACGAATAGTGAAAGCCAGAGCGGCTTATGCCAATCTGGGCCACCTTTGGCGCCTTCGTGATGTTAGTCTGGCTGTAAAAGGCCGGATCTACAACGCGTCGGTGAGAGCAGTTTTGCTCTATGCTTGTGAAACCTGGCCTCTCCGAGTTGAGGACGTTAGACGACTCTCTGTGTTCGATCATCGCTGTCTCCGAAGGATTGCTGACATTCAGTGGCAACACCATATGAGTAATGCAGAGGTTCGGCATCGTGTGTTCGGGCACAGAGATGATGACTCAATTGGTGTCACCATCTTGAAACACCGACTTCGGTGGCTTGGACATGTTCTCCGAATGTCGTCCCAGAGAATTCCACGTCGTGCATTATTTGCCGACTCTGGGACTGGTTGGAAGAAGCGGAGAGGTGGTCAGTGCATGACATGGTGTCGTGGCATGAAAGAAAACTGCAAAGGACTGGCTTGTGTCGGTCCTTCACGACTCCCTGGTTGGGGTCCGAGAGATGGTGCTACACAGTGGCTAGAGACGTTATCAGATATGGCTCAGAATAGAAGCCAGTGGCGATCCTGCTGTAACCTTTTACTTTCTTCATAAAAAGTGGTTGTCTTCCTTAACTGAAAGATTTCTTCTGATTGTACCTCTTCGTCATTACTCTCCTTTTCCTTTGCGTTCCTTAGTTTTTTTTTTTCTTTCTACTTCTCTTCGAATTCCCGTTGTTTTGTGTGGCGCATATATATTGGCGCTCTCTTGTACCAATATTTATGTGTTCAAATAAATAAATAATCATCAGTTTAATCTGGCTTCAGAGCTTTAATCAACATTATAAGAGTTGATCATATGGAAAATAACTTTTTATTTGCTCAGTTAGTCATACACAACATAGAACCTGAAACATGTGTACATCAGTTCAAGTTACCACACCATATAAGCTCAGCGAAATGAAATCATCAGAGCAAATCTCAGAATTCCAGAGGTAGTAACACTAATGGTGATAATAGAAAAGATCAGGCATCAAAGTGGCGATTGGAGTAGGAATTATGGTTTAGTGGAGTAAAATCGTTTATGAGTTTATTTTTGAAGTTGAGACCGTTCTAAAGAAAGAAATAGAGTGAACGCACCTATGCTATTGCGATATATATTCTGAGCCCTGTAATCCAAAATCTCCAACCACTTGTTACAATCATGCTGACACTGATAATGTAGTCTGCACTTACCTATATGGCTCAGTCCAACAACTGATGTTTTGATAGTGTGGTGTGAGATTTTAGTTTGAGTGGCCTTAGGTTTCTTGCAACCTATTCGCGCATTAGTTATCATCGGGTGTCCAGTTGTGTAATGGATTGAAACACACACATAAGGTAAGCTTTTGAAGTTCATTTTAGCATTTCATCTACAGTTTTTGACTGTCATCTTATAACTAATAATCTGGCATTCTTATTTGAATGATTAAATATCTTTAACCGTCAATAGCATTTGTTCAGATGAATTTTATCAGTGTTATATGTAACTAGAGGACAATAAAAATGATCGCTTAATACTAATCAATATAATCATCGACTAGATCATAGTGTCGATTAATTTTACTGATTAAGTTGTAATTTAGTGATTAATCGAAAGCGACTCTTGTACTACATTTTGATGTCAGACGAATGGATGGGATCTGTAAGCACTAACGGATGTAAGTTTTCTGTTAATTCAGACCCATCATAGCAAAGTGCATTTGAAATCTTGAAGGAAATTAATATTGGAAAGAATTTAGTTACTCAAGGTGCGAGTGTTGTTTATGAAATTGAGAGAACGAAAAGTGAATGTTCAGCACTTTAACCGGGTTGGTGGATACGGAGAGTTCACCTAGGGGAGTTGGAAAACCCTCATTCCAAACCAATGTTCCACATGGTCTCCAGGATCCTGAAGGAACAAATGGTGTATGAACCTATTGTTGGTCACCAGCTACTACGGGACAGCATCTCCTGATATTGCTCCACTGCCTTGTGGATCAAACTCTTAGGTCAAAGGCTCCGTATGTGCCCCTCTAAGAAAACCACCTGCTCCGGTCTGGGCACACTGGCAATATCAAAGCTCACACACAAATCAAGTAACTTGTGTGGCGTATATGTATTCGGTGCCCCTTTGTACCAATATTTATGTGTTCGAATAAATAAAATAAATAAATAAACTATTCAAAGAGGAACTAGTTTAACACATTTATTCGACAACAGATTAAACAAATAATTGAGTGGTAAAGCCTTCGGCAGCAAGTATCTTCCCCGCAATATCTCTAACTCACTGAGTTTGAACATTAGAAACATCTATCCACAGAGTATGTTTGACCTGTAGCTTACGTAAATGATGAGTTTATTAATTGTCTGAACCGTTGTTGCGACCTTGATGTGGTGGTCGGGCTTGCCTATCGTGATGAAGCAACCGAGCTATACTGGCTGGAACAACCGTTCCTCAAGGTCCTACTATGTCAGACAGGTCGGTTGAAGAGCGGTAAGACTAAAAGCACCGAACCCAAGGTCTGAAGGCGAAGTCGTACTACTGAATGTACAGAAGTGTGACGGTGTTTCCTTCAGATAACCAGCATGACAGTGATGCTGCCTTCCCACATGGAGGGGTGGGGTTAGGAAAGGTCGACCTCAAAAATGCACACCTCGCCTTATCCCACGGATATCCGTCTCCAGCGGTAAGGTCTCAACAAGCATGGAGCTAACACAAAAGTTACCCATAAAAAGGACGTGTGTTACCGACCTCAAGCAGTTGTCCCTTGGGTACTGTGATCACACTCTCAGATCACCAAGACCACCTCTAATCCAATTTCCTTTTCAGGTACCTGCAGAAGAATCCTTCTACGGTGTGGGCAACCGGGGAGTGATAACCACCCTCATACTTCTAACAACACTCAAGACGACTAATTGTTTGGACAGTAAAAGATTTTTTTTAAAAAAATACTAAATTTCGCTCACATTTATCACACATCGCTCTCACTGATATATTTGGATTAATTTTCTTAGCAGTATCACATGCAATTTGACTTTTTGACAAACCAATATGACATGATTGAAAAAGAAATTGTCGATTTAAATTTGACTTCTCAATATGATCAGGATCAGTGACAATAATATTTGGGCACCTATTATTAATGATTGATTCACTGAATACAGATTTTATTGATTGTCTTTGAGATGTAGAAACTTGATGTGATATAATTGACTTGACAATTGTTTCAGAATTATTAGTGAGTTGATCATTAGGATAAAGTGAATTGCCGTGTTCTTTTTGACCGTCTACCGCTGAATGTGACAACGTTTGATGATGATCCCTATCATCAACATTCGCATGAGACATCAATGAAGTATCGAGTGTTGTATTATATGTAAATTGATTGTTGTTTTCTTGTTGTTCATATTGATGACGACGATAACAATATTGATGTTGATTAGAATCAGTCACGTTGTTCGCTGAATGTAAATCATCATCGTTAGATCCAGCAGTGGCAACACCTAATAATGCTAAATTCTTTAATAATTCACAACCAATCGCACCACAACCAACCTGTAAAACAATAACAATGAAGGAGAAAGTCAAACGCGAAGTGAAGTTCGATCAATAAAAGTAGCACACAAATGGTTTCTTAATAAGTAATGACCAATCTTATGTTTTTTTTCTAGTAATTCAGTGTTGATCAAGTTCTATTTACTAAGTTACATTGTGTTCACTAATCAAAGTGACTTGATATCATGTATCAAGTTGACGGTTGGAAGTGTCAGCAAAACATCTCAGATTTTGAAGCTGGATGATGAAAGTTTGAGACATACGAGTGTAGCATTAGTTCCTTCAAGATTACAGGTATACCTTGGTGACGAAGTGAATAGTGATAATTCAAACACTATGACTACTATCAATTCTATGAGTATAATAGATGAGCATTCCTGACGGATAGAAAAAGACAGTTGTCTATATTTCCATCAATAGCTGAATACCATCTTTTGACTTCTTCAAACTTTATGATTCTACTATCATAGTTGTATATAAAAACGGGATTTGATTCCCTGATAATGAACTGTTAAGTCGATGAGTTATTAATTTTGCTTTTAGAGATCTATTCCTCAGTGATTAGTTCTATGAAGGGAAGGTGACAGGTAAACGTCAGTTAGTCAGTCAGTAACAACGTAGAACTTCGTACGTACGTACATCAGCTCGAGTTGCTATACCACATTAGCACAGAGATGCAGTTGTCGACTCAAATTCCGTAATGGTAGAGGTAGTAAGAGTATAAGTGGTAATCGGAAACAGTTAAACGAAATAAAGTCATATTCAGTAATACCTATCTAATCCGAATCCATCAAATGTCATCAAAATAAAATAGCCCATTGATACACTCCACAAATTAACAGTTCAATTGTATAATAAATTGATTAGATTCTAAAACGATTTTCAACATTAAAACAATATAACATACCATAAAAATACTTAAATTATGCATTTTTTGAAGATTTGACACACCGATACATTGAATTAAAGCGGCATAACGACTTGACAAATAACTGTTACATAAAAGAGATTATGTAATAAGCGGTATGTATAAATATAGAATCATAATAATAATAATATATGAAGATTACAGAACTCCGCCTGGAGTCCCTCCGGGGGCTACTGCCGGTCCCAAGCCCGGATAAAGGAGGAGGGTTGGGCATGGGGTTAGCATCCCCATCCCGTAGAAAACTAACTCGCTAAAAAAACGCTAACCAGAAAATGAAGATTACAGAATAGACGACAGTTAGCAAGGATGATCAAGATGAATTTCAAACAGAAAATATAGTTATTTTAAACATTTGTACAAGAAGGCGCCAAATAGACAATGTGACACATAAGTCATTCATTTGAATTGTGTAAGGGCTGGGATAATGATCGAGTGCCCAAACCGAAGAAGATAGTTTTCTTATGAGGTCACACCAGGAGCCGTCGATCTAAAGGTCTGATCCATAAGGCAATAGAGCAATGTCACGAGATGCTGTCCCACGGCAGCCGATGTCCAATAATTGGTTCATACACCATTTGTTCCTTCAGGATAAGCCACTAAGACGAAACATTTTCGAAGCTATGCACAATATTTCGCATCCTGGAACAAAGGCTACCATCAAACTAGTCAGCGAGCGTTTCTTATGGCCAAGTATGAACCGGGATATTCGTAACTGGACGCAAGGGTGTATAAAATGCTAGAAAGTTAAGATAAATCGCCACACCGGTTCCACAGTAGGTCATTTCTCTCACCCCGATAGCAGATTCGAGCACATACATATCGATATTATGGGACCGCTGCCGATTTCGAATGGCTTTGGTTACATTTTCGCTTGCATTGATAGATTCACGCGATGGCCTGTAGCAGTGCCCATAAAAGACATTGCAGCCGAAACTATAGCAAAAACCCTAGTAGAGCGTTGGATTTCCTATTATGGCGTGCCTACTAATAATACAACCTATAGAGGAGTTCAATTTAAGGGCCGCCTCTTCCAACAACTCACAGAGCTCCTCGGAATCAAGCGAATTCGCACAACATCCTACCATCCGATGTCGAATGGTATGGTAGAGAGATTACATCGACAACTGAAATCCTCTCTTACAGTTGTCACTAGCAGTAATGATTGGGCCAGTAAGCTCCCATTAGTCATGTTGAGTTTAAGATCAACAATCAAACAAGATATAGGATGCTGCCCAGCAGAATTGGTTTATGGAACCACTCTACGTCTACCAGGAGAGTTTTTCACCTCAGGTAAAAGCGTTCCAACTGATATAGCCAACTATGTACAACGTCTAAAGCAGCATACGAGTAATCTAAGGATAACGCTCCCGAGGCAACATCAACACCGTGTGTACATACCAAAACAACTGAGCGACAGTACCCATGTGTTTATCAGAAGGGATAATGTGCAGCGTCCCTTACAACCGGCCTACGATGGTCCATTCAAAGTGATTAAAAGAAACGAGAAGACTATTACGGTAGACAAAGGTGGAAAAACGGATGTAATTAGCATCGACCGAATCAAACCAGCTTTCATAGAAACCGACGATCAGCCAGTACATAGAGATACTTCGAAAACCGTCGAATCACCGAAATGTGAGTTCCAATTATCAACAACATCGACAAAGACAAACAAAGAGAATCCAGTAACGACAATATATGGTCGAAGAGTGAGATGGTCGCAACAATACATAGCTACGATTTTGAGTTAATAATTTCTTTCACCTCTTCGGATGTAAATTTCTTTCATCTTCGTTTTCTATGTACACATCGAAATTCTTTAACTTATCTATTATTATATTCGACATACTTTATGTATTCTTTCGATCTTCCATTATTATCTTATTTGGCCTCAGGGACATAGACGAACTCAAACTGACATGTATTTGTAATAACTTACACAATAGTTTTATCATACATCTTAATTTCGTAAATTCCAAATATTTACCCTTCTGTTAAATTTGACATTTTTTTCACAAACACAAACACTGTTTTGTATCTTTGTTTGCTTGGGGGGGGGTGGGAAACTATTATAGCAACTCACGTGCAATTGAGTTTGTTCACATTTAATTCGATTAAACCGTTTTGTTAACTTATTTAACAGATAGAGTCATTCGTACAATAACAACTTATCTATACCATTGTGTCTTTATTATTGTTGCGAATGTATGAACATGTATGCTTGAGCATTTGCTTACTGCCTAAGCATTTATTCACGCTGCTAGCCTTACTACTAACCGCTAAATTGATTCGATGATTCATTCATTCACTCATTTCACTATGTATATTATATGTCAAAGTTATTCATCTTCGCTGCTCTATCTCGCCTAACTGTACTCGTATTCGCTGACTCACTCGCTCGCTTACCTCCTTGCCTTTCGGCACAACTCTTTCATGCTTGTTTAACGCACCTGTAAATGTGGATATCTGTGTGTGGTCTCATAATAAACGTAGTCCACACTTTGTATTCGCCTTCTGATTAATATACCGTTGGGTTGTTATCTTGTGACGGTTGTCAATACGAACTGTATACGAAGTTTAGGGATTATATTGAATAATGACCGCCACATGGTCATTAACTAATTATTAATGAATATTAGCGAAATCAAAAACGAGAAAGAAGTGTATCACTCACTTCTGAAATTCATTTGATTGCGTATTGACTTCAAGTGGTACAATCGATGCACAATGGATGTACAGCTAAATCATGATGAAGATAAAGAAATAATAAGAAAAATATTTTACTTCCTAGAGTCTACTGTTGATGAATCAGTCCACTGGGAAAGCATACAATTGGATTCAAAAGATTCTGTTTATGCTTTTCGACATCCAGTTCCTGGGATTCTTTCAAGACATTTATTACCGTACCACCAAACGCTGTGGCGAGAAAATAAACTGATCAATTCATAGTAAAAGCAGGGGAAGCTAAAGTTAATTGTTGTTAGCCACTGAAGGTGATGCCACGATACTAGTGATTCTAAATCCTAGGGTTTACATAACTCATCATCGCGATTCCTTCGGCAAACTCTGGCCTATCTGACCTGGGGGTGTCTAAGAACCCTGTATATCTATCATGGTATCGAAATGATTGCTCACAATCCCGGCCCAATGGTTTACAGGTTTAGCATTGACGTGCGAGGGCGAATATCTTTGTTTTGGTTCCCGCATAATAGGGTTGTGAATTTGCACTGCTAGAGAGTACAAAGATAGGATGAAACCGCTGTTCACTGATTTCAGGTTTTCGATAGCGTTCTAATTTTGATTGGTTCGTGATTTCAATGGAATCATATGCTATTTTTTGGCATATTAGAAATATATTATTGTCCTACCATTATGAACAATCCACTCAATGCATAATTTACGTGAAATTATCAAGACCACACATCGCTACAGATACAATTCTGGATTAAATTTTTTGTAGCAAAGTCTGTATACTGCAGATTTATTTATTTTGTGGTGTGCGCTATTGATGTCAACAGATATAAGTAGTATGTATCATCAACAAAAAGTGAAATGTCTGACGGCAGAAGGTTAAGAAGATCGAAGGAAAGAGAACGAGAACGGAGAATGATTGGTGTGGAAACGAAAGAGACGATTGATTGACAGTTTGTGAATGAAGTATTTACTGTATGGTTCTCAGATTTTACTAAGAGATTCTGTAACTTCGTATTGAAGTACATTCGGTTGTCCCCACTTGTGTTCTCGTTCACTACAATTTAGCTGCTACATATTTATGTATTTGGTTTCAAATTATACAGTAAATTTGAAGGCTGATGATACTTACCAGTTGGATAGACAGAAATAGGTGAGATGGGATTCAAACTTGTAAGTTGTAATAGCGGAAAGTTGGATGTCTTGACCCCAATGAACCGTCACTGAACTAGTGAAAATGTATTCACTCTGTCTCTTTCCCTATTTTTTTTATTTATTTCAATATCATTTCATAAGTATCATACTCTTATTTCGTTTTGATGGAGTTTTGTTCTCTGAACTGGATGGTTTGCTCGTGGAGCTTTCATCGTTATTCTGAACAACCTTAAGGCCAACAAGAACCAATCAACATCGAGGTCTACAGGACAAGCTGTGAACCACATGTGGAGAAATTCGAACACTTCACTTCTACCTGACGTTTGTGCTGATGAACGATGAAAGCTCCATGTTCAAACCATCCAGCTCAGAGAACAAAATTCCATCATAATCATCCACCTTAGCTACAAATCTTCTCCACCATCTCCTATTTCATATCTTCTATTTAAGGTATAATCTCTATTGTTAGCTTGTCTCAATGTTATTGATACTAGTATTTCGATTCTTTTACTTTGCATCTCTACAATCTCATCTTATGTCCATTTGGCAACTTAAACTGCCGCGTATTCATGTGCCATATCTTAACGCTGGTTATAGGACTAGTTGAAATTAGTGTAGAATTATCAATTACTGTTAACATATAATACTTACTAAACTATATGGCATTGTTTAACTACTCATTAAGTTCAATTATACACTTAGAATATAGTTCATTTTCACGGGTCCTAATAAAACTTACCCATTGATTAATTGGTGTAAATGTAAATGTAATCGCTTTCATAGCTTCTTGTGCAGCTATTCCACCAAAAACAGCACTTAATGGTGCTAATTGTCCTTGACTAGCAAAGGCTAAACGTTTTACTAACGATTCATCAATTTTAATTGGCTACAATGAAAAAAAAAGAGAAAGAAAGAATTAAGTTATTATCAAAAAATTAACTGTGGACTTAAATATACACGTTTATTACTATTAACCATTTATCAGCTGGATACATTTATATCCCAGTGTTGATGTCTACTCCGAGACTTGAACCCAGTACTTCTCGCTTTAAATAGTAATGATATAGGTATTAGACCCGTTGAACAAGTTAGTAGCTATCCGGACGCAATAAATCAGTGGATAATGTGTCAATCACTTGAAGCCAAAGGTATTGGGGTTGGAGTCTCTATGTAAACTTCAGGTTCGTCCAGTTAACGTATTTCCATGTTTTGAAATTTCATTACTTATCCAGTATTCAATACTAATGTATTTACAATTGTGCAAACAGTGTTTCAATTGGTCACTTAATCACTCACTCATTCAAACTTATTCGTTCATTCATTCCCACAAATGCCCTGGTACTGTCGAGGGTGGGGAGATTCAGCTCACCCTCTCCAAATGCTCTCACATGGCCATGCGTATACAGCCATTGCCAGGGAGGTCCTACTCACTGACTTCTCGTGACATTACTGTTGTTTAAGAAATTGAGAGGACGAAAACCGAATGCCCGGCGCTCTAACCGGGGTGGTGCATATGAAGGATCCATCTGAGGGAGTTGGAAAACCCTCATTCCAAACCAATGCGCCACATGGGCTCCAGTATCCTGAAGGAACAAATGGTGAATGAACCAATTATTGGTCACCGGTTGCCACGGGACAGCATCTCGTGACATTGCTCCATTGCCCTGTGGATCAGACCTTCAGATTACATATTCTAGGTGTGGTCCCCTAATAAAACTATCTGTTTCGGTTTGGGCACCCGATCAGTATCCCAGCCCTCACACAATCCGAATCAATGATTTATGTGTCACATATTTATCTGGTGCCTCCTGGTACGAATGTTTATGTGCTTAAATAAATGAATACTCGAAGTACAAGACAATCAGAGTTGAGAGAATACGACTTTTCGAGTTTTGAAGGAACTACAAATATCATATACAATGATTAGTAGAAATACGTTCGTATACTGCTCCAAAATCTTTACAATAATAATGAAGAATTATTTTTTACCAGCACAGAGTAAAAATGAATTCACTTGGTATTGTTTACTAGAATCTTCTCATTGATGTTTAGGATTACAATTGATCAGTCTCTTATTGGCATATGTGCATATTGTGCGTATTGCCTTAATTCATAAGCTAAGTGGACAACGCGATGATGTTCGAAACAAACGGTACTAGGTTCGAGTCCCAGAGTGAACATCTATTCTGAAATCCAGATACATCCAGCTGACGAGTCCCAAATAAGGTGAAACATGCGTCCTGGCTTCGAGTGTAGTCCCCTATGAAAACCACCCGGGCAATATCACAGCCCACTCACAAATCAGATGATTTGTATGGTACATATCTATTTGATGCCCCCTTTATACCAATATTTAGGTGTTCAAATAAATAAATCACCCACCCCCCTCAATTTACCTATTTATTCATTCATAATTAATAACTTAAACATGTATTTATTAATAATCATTTGATATTGATTACTTACATTTCCCATTTGTAGCTTATGTAATGTGAACAATTGATCACGAAATAAATTCCAATCATTTTCATCCCTTCGGGGTTTTTTTTATAGTAAAATATAAGATAAAAAGGGGAACTTATCTAAAATTGTTTTCTTTTCTATTTCAACATAGATACTAATTATTGATTACAACATAAGTTGAATGACAGATATTTAATGAATTTAAACGAAGGTCTAAGATTCCCCCCCCTATTGACTAACTCTCCAACCACAGTGTATGCAATGTCGACTCACCTAGACTGGTAGTTACATTGAAATTTGGTCGATAGGATTAGATTTTCACTAAAAAAAAGACTTGAAATACATGACATTGATCACCACCCGGTGATCAATCAATTGTAACACAGATATTCACTATTGAATAGACCAAGAATATACCACAGTACTATTGTAGTGTATGCTACTTATGTTAACAGATATAAGTAGTATGTAGTAACAATCAGAAGTGAAATGACGGACAGTAGATGATTGAAATGAAGAGAACAAGAATAAAATTGGAGGGCAATCCAAATAACAACAAAATTAAAAGAATGACAGAGTGAGTAGAGGATAACGGACAGTAGATGTATGATTTTGAATTCAACAATAAATTGCTTCACAATACAATTACTAACAGAAATGAATGACCAAGGAATACTAATAGATTTTATCAATAAGAGGTAAGTAACCGAAGTAATATTTAGACGATGATTATATTTAGTGTATGGGTAGTGGCGGAAATTAAGACGCATGTTTTGTCCCATTTGAGAATCAGTAAAACGGATGCACATGAATTCTAGTGTTGATGCTCACATTGAGACTTCAAACGCCAATGTGTTATCGAATGCAAACATTATCACTGTGATACAAGTACATTCAACTGAATGGATGTAAATAGGACAAAATGCGTATTCTGAATATCACCCTTAAACAACATACTAAATATAACATAGGTTTAATTAAAGACCCAATAGAAGTAACAGACATAAGATAGGAAATAATCAATTACAGTCCTAGATGTCAACAACGGGAAATTACAAACCCTTACTAATAAGATGATTGGATCCACTTAAAATTAAGATGGTCAGTAGTATGTATAATTGAGAAGAATCAATTTAGCAGAAATGAACAGATTATCATGCTCGTACAATGTAAGAGAGTGAGAGTTTTCCGAATTGCTGCGGAAATAAAGAGAAGCACCCAACTGCGTCACAAAGCAAGCCCTCACATGGAATCCTCAAGGCCAAAAGAGAAGAGGAATACCAAAGAACACATTACGTCGAGAAATGGAGGCAGACATGAGAAGAATGAACAACAATTGGATAGAACTAGAAAGGACGGCCCAGGACCGAATGGATTTGAGAATGCTGGTCGGCAGCCTATACTCCACTGAGAGTAGCAGGTGTAGGTAAGTAATTAAGTAAATATATCTCATTGATTCAAACTAAAATTAATCAGATATTGAACCAACTCTTTCTTATTTCGACAAACCTTAAACGATTTATTCAATTATAGAAAATATAGAAATAATCTAAGAAGGATCTAGTTCATATTAACAAAAGTTCAGTAGTAGACGATTTTATTCGGTATAAAACATACAGGCATAAAGACCATATGATGAATAATTTCAGAAATTTATTTGTTTAATTGATTATAGTGCGAAAGTATACGACATCTTTTAAGATACAACTGACAATATGTGCTCACAATAAGACTTGGAGGTCCTCGCGTATTCGTTTTTTGAGTAAGTTTGTGAGTGTATAATGTTATGGAATCTATAACCAGGAAGAAATACACAAAGTTCTAACTGATTTCTAATAGTTCTCCAAGTATTCTCACAGTTTAAGGTGTAAATTACTTTTAAAATCAATCTACCTTGTTTGATTATTAATATGTGCCTTGTTTTACTACACAAATGCCAAGACAAATTTATGGATCACATGATGATGGCGGTGATGACCCCATACAAATTTAAGTACTCTGTTTTGAGCTGCACTTTAAGAGTGACGGCTAGTGATACTACCCGATTGTCCAGATCGAAGTACCGCGAGGAGGATATGAACCTGAAACTTAGTGGTTGAAAGTTGAACGCTTTAACCACTTATCCAACGCTCACGAAGTTAGGTCGATGCATTGAAGAGTGACAATGGAACGTGTTGCACATACTGAACCAAACACTCCCTCAGTGATCTATATTTATATTTGTCAAATACTTACATGTTTAATATAATTGATCGCACTGTTATACTGACATGTATATGCGGTATATAATGTAATCATATCCCATTGTATTGGATTTCACTCTTCTACAGCCATTGTGAGTTTGTCTTATTAAGTCAATAAATATGTACTTGATCATTCAAAAATGGTGTCTTTTCATTCTAATTCATTCGATTTAGCTAGGTTATCAGCTATTTATCATTTGATGAGCAATTCTAAGAACAAAACTACAGTATCAGAATGGGTTTTGTGGAGAATTTTAGAAATTTCACAGGTTGAAATCATGAGTCAGTTGAAGCTAGACCACCATGGAAAACCTGGAAGCACTGGACGGCCGTTTCGTCCTGGTATGGGACTCCTCAGCAGTGCGCATCCACGATCCCGCACCACGCGGGGCTCGAACCCAGGACCTACTGGCTTCGCGCGCGAGCACTTAATCATTAGACCACTGGGTCGGCATCCAACGGTGTTAATGTCTAACTTCAACCAATCCACGAAGTTGCGCCACCGTACACCATCGTCTTCAGTGAGTTGTTATCTCACAACAGACCGGTTGAACTCCACTGTTAACGGCTTCTCACTAGAACTTCAGGAGTTTTTCCTGAAGTCAGTCACTAGTGAGTAGTTGATTATTATTATCAGAATGGGTTTTGTGGAGAATTTTAGAAATTTCACAGGTTGAAATCATGAATGCCGGCTCAGTGGTCTAGTGGTTAAGTGCTCGCGCGCGAAGCCAGTAGGTCCTGGGTTCGAGCCCCGCGTGGTGCGGGATCGTGGATGCGCACTGCTGAGGAGTCCCATACCAGGACGAAACGGCCGTCCAGTGCTTCCAGGTTTTTAATGATGGTCTAGCTTCAACTGACTCATGATTTCAACCTGTGAAAACTACAGTACTTTATTTGGACATTGGAATAATAACCATTTCGTTACCGAATCATAAATAATGAAATAACAATAAATTCTCTCGTATAATATTGAAGAGCTATTGAGGTAAGTCTACGTAAGATACTGAATATATGTTGTTGGCCGGATACCATCAACAACAGCCTACTGTGGGAGAGAACAAATTAAATTTGGGCTGAGGAGGAAATTAGGAGAACACAATGGAAGTGGATGAGACACATATTGAGGAAATCATCAAACTGAATCATGAGGGGAAACGAAAAAGAGGAAGGCCAAAGAACACACTTAGTCAGAAATTGGAAACAGACATGAAAAGGATGCATGACAACTGGAAACTACTGGAAAGGATTGCCCAGGACAGATTTGGATGGAGAATGTTGCTGAACGGTCTATGCTCCTCCATGAGGGGTAACAGGAGTAAATAAGTAAGTAATTGGGGTAAATGAAAGAAAGATGGACGATTTCGCATTAAGTGGGACATCGATTTGAATTTGATATCCATGACTAAAATTAAGTCCAATGCATAAAGACGAATAACTATTTAAGGTTTGAAACATGTCTAAGTATTTAGGTCATTAATTACATTTTATTACAATGGATAAATATACTACTCAGATGTTTAAATAAAAATAGATGAAGTATAGTTTGAACTAAGGAGCCACAATTCTCATTTAGGATGTTTACGACAAAACAACTATCCAACAAACCAGATACAAACACTTACAGGCATAGGTTGAGCTAAAAAGAGAAAAAAAAACAAAGGAGTTCAACATACCATGGTTTGGGATAACGGCCAGTTTCTACATTGAACCTCATCAATGTTAGGTATGTTAAATGTAACAAGTTACTTTCCTAGTTGAAGCAAAAACAATCAAGGGAAACAATAGATTTAATTAGAAAAATATATTGAACATGAAACAGAACGCTATCATTATCATGAAGGTTACTTAATTGAGTCGAATTATTCAAAGCCAACAACAGAACAACACGAATAATTAAGGTTAAGTAGTTTTTTGTCAAAAGAATCAGTCTTTTCTCTGAATCACTACTTACTATGTACAGGTTTGTGTATTCGATTTTCAGTTACGCTATTTCTGTGTGAGAGCTAGTGAAACCACTTGGTTAGTGAAGCCGAATCAGCTGAAGCAAGGTTGAAACAAGCAGTCAACTAGTTGAAAGCCGTATGTTTTAATTCTGTGACCAGTAAACAATACAAAATGAACAATCTAAGCTAATAGAATACATTTTAACGTACAATATCATCGAACGGGGAGTCAATAGGTAGGTAATCATTCAACACACACTGTTAACTAGTTTCTTTATACTACCTCATTAACGCTTTGTCAACTGAAGAAAGGCTTAAATACCACACTAACTCTCGTGATCTGGAGATGATGGAAAAGCTTATACAAAACACTACATTCAAAATATTTTAATAACTTGACTGTCTCCTCTTCTTGACTTTATATGTGTTGATACGTTTTTTGAAATTGGATAAATTTCGGTAAGACGACTGATTACTAATTGACCAGAGTGACAAGCCTCTGAAAATTTATTGGTCTTCTTTAGATTATCTTTGTCTAAGATTTCGAAATTTACCCGAATGAACTTGTGTCCACAATTGTCTACGTACATTGATGTTCATACAAAGTTGAAGAGGTCGGTCAATCCTGATGGATGAGAAAGATACTTCAGAAGTTACAACTAGATTATTGAGACAATTTGGAAAAGGTGTAATCCATAAACCAGTAAAATCGCTTTGATCAATCTTGTGCAAATCAAAAGATAACATGACAAAAAAAGGAAAGCTGAACAACATCTATAAAATAAGCTGATCCAACTACAACACCAACTACCAATGAAACACTACGAGGTGCCTTCATTTACATCAATGTACGTAGACATGAGTTTGTTTGGGGAAATTTCGCGGCTTGAAACTAAAAAATTTATAGACGCCCGATATGTATATGTATCACTCCTTATAGTAAAATTGACTAGACTGCACCATAGCAGCTAGTTTTTCGAGTGCAGTATAAACAGGGTACACTCGAGAGGCGGCAAGTTGTGTTCAATGTCCAAGACTTACCAGGACTAGGAAACCACCAGAGTTAAGGGTAGTCTCCCTTAGATAGAGGTAATTTAAAGAAGACCAACAAATTTTCAGAAGCTTGACACTCGGATCAATTAGCAATCAATGATCACATCTAAATCTATCCAACTTACCAACCAGTTATAAAAATTACAAACCATCTTAACTTCGAGATGGAAGATAATCAAAATACCCAGAGAGTAACGAGAAAACTTTTAACAAAAACTAATCAAATTTAATGTTGAAAAAAAAAACGAGCTATTTGTTAATAAAGGAATAAATCCTCAAAGCACACTTCGATCTGAAGTTTGTACTGATGATATTGTCTAGAATGACAATGAAAGTTTCATAATCCAACCATCCAGTTCAAAGAACGTATCTCCATTAAATTCATCTTCTTGAACTGTTAATATTCGCCACTATCTCAACTCATGTGTTTTTTTCACATTTTGAATGTTGATATCACTTCATAATTCGATGACCTCAATTTCATTGAGCTTTTCAAATTATACTTGCATAATAAACTTACTATAATATCCACAAAAACCCCTTGTGATACTAATCAACATATGCTCACTAGTGACTGGCTTTAACAAGTATTTCCTGGAGTTCTAGTGCGAAGCAATGACCAGTGAAGCGCAACAGCGTCTGTTGTGAGATAGTAGCACACTGGAAACAATAGTGGATGTGTCACTCAATTTCGTAGATTAGTTGCAGTTAGATATTAACACCATTGAATACCGGCTCAGTAGTCTAGAGGTTAAGCATTTGCGCGCGAGTCTGATAGGTCCTGGGTTCAAATCTTGCGAGGTGGAGTCGTGGATGCGCACTGCTGAGGAGTCCCACAATAGGACGAAACGGCCGTCCAGTGTTTCTAGGTTTTCCATGGTTGTCTAGCTTCAATTGAATCATGATCTCAACTATTGAAATATACTTTATATGTTTACTATTTTTAGTTCGACTCTTTTTCTATTAACCATGTTAGTTTCATTTTTTGATGTGCTGAAGTATAAAAGTTTTCATTGATAAACTTTTATGTCAGATACAACATTGTTTATAATTGATGAATTAATTGAGAACAACTAGTTTAACTGGTATTGTAGTGAAGAGAACACGGGTGAGGACAATCGAATGTATTTAACACAACATTACACCACCACTTGTTAATAAAATCTAACAATCGTAAAGTAAATGCTTAATTTGCAAAATGTTCATCGATTGTCTCAAAATGACTCAGACTTCATTGTTCTTGCATTTTCATACAAATTGCATTCTGTTACCATTCTTTACTGTTCGATCCTCTTGTCTCTATGCTGCCAGACCTTCTGTTCACCAATAAAATCATATACTACTTATGTCAATATAAGTAGCACATACCACAGGATTACTATACACAGACTAAATAATGCACTCTAGTTAGTCAATCAGATATAATCAACATAGAACCTGGAATAAATGTTCATTAGATCAAGTTGCTGCACCCTACAACATCAGTAGAGTGAGATGGAATTTAATACAATAATGATTAATATTTAGTGAGTGAGTGAGTGAGTGAGAGAGAGAGAGGAAGTAGGAAATAACTTCAGCCATTTTTTTCACTAACCTCAGGTTCACTGAAATCCACACACATTAATTTAGGAGATTTAAGTTGTTCGAGCATAGTTTCCTAAACAAAAGTGTTAAAAAAGATTAGCCAAACTGAAATAACTAAATAAAATGGTAAATGGTAAACAGACAATTAATTTCAATGATTAAGATCATGAGTAAGTTGAAGCTAGACCACCATGGAAAACCTGGAAGCACTGGACGGCCGTTTCGTCCTACTGTGGGACTCCTCAGCAGTGCGCATCCACGACGTCGCCCCCTGTGAGATTCGAACCCAGGACCATTCAAATTAGTTTCTGATAGGTCCTGGGTTCGAATCACTCGAGGGGCAGGATCATGGATGTGCACTGCTGAGGAGTCCCACAATAGGACGAAACGGCCGTCCAGTGCTTCCAGGTTTTCCATGGTTGTCTAGCTTCAACTTACTCATGATCTTAATCACTCAAATTACTATAATATCCACAAAACCCATCTGATAGACAATTAAATGTTTAACAGTTGTAGCATTGAAGTCTTAGTTATTTGTCTGAAGGTTTGAAACCTGACCTGGGCTCGGATACTGCCTGGGTACCCAAGCCGAAACAGGTAGTTCTCTTAGGAGGTCACACCCTGAGCCCTTGACCTACAGGTCTAATGCACAGAATAGTGGAGCAATGTTAGGAGGTGAGGTTCTATAGTAACGTGTGACCAACAATAGGTTTATACGCCACTTATTCTCTCTCTGGAGCCCATGAACACCATTGGTTTGGAATCATGGTTTTTAAAATTCTCTGGGTGGGATTTCCGTACCCATAAGCACCATTTAAGCGCTGAACATTTATTTGTCTTCCTCTCAACTTCGTAAACAACACCCCCGCCGCAAGAAGGCAGTGGTTGTATGCACGTGGCCATGTGAGAGCATTTCGAGTCAGAGAGTTGCCTCTCCCCACTCTCGATTGTATCAGGGTATTTCGGAGCCGTAGCTCATGTTCAAAGGAAGTTCGTATGACACTTGCTCATCCAAGATCCTGGAGCTCGCGTGAAACACTGGTTTGGAATTAGTTTATAAACTCGCCAAAACGAATCGTTTATACCAATAAATTGTGTCAAATATTCACTTTTGTCAATTTACCTGTGCAGAAGTACCCTAATCACGTGATAACAATCATTAAAATATCTACAGGAAAAGATAAAAACATACAACCACAACAGGGCCTTTCGAGTGAGATGATGAACTTTCCGATGCACTTTAACAATAGGTTTCATGAATCAGATGATTGGGGATAAAAATGTAAAATGTTCTTGCAAAAATTAAGTTTAATTATCTTATTTAGCCTTTTTATATCTGACATGATGGGAAGAAAAGTCAATCGACAAGACATATCAGTGGCGACGAGGATTTTGGAAAAAAAGAAAGCAATAACAATTTGGCGATGGAAATATTGAAAAAACGAAAACCACAACAATCACTGATAGAGTCAATTTGAAAGTTCCAGTTTCCAATATAACTGTCTGGTTCCAATTATAACTCACTTGTCAGTTTAACGTACTCCTAATCCCCTTTCCTCAGTTATAAACACACTTCTGCTTTTATTTATCAAGTCGCTGTTGCAACAAACGACGCGGTGACTGGTGTAAAAACATGACAATTTCAGTCGTAGAAGTGTTCATTAAATCTTAATTACTGATCATAAGTGCATTGAAGAAACACATGCTCGAACAATCAAATCCGGGATCGCATTCAAAAATTATAAACATATTTAACGAGGTAACTGATACATCTCCTGATGTAATAAGGAATGTTCAGGGGTGACAAAAGGATTCATTAACCTCTTTGTATACCCACACGCTACAATACACACCTATAATGAAGGTGCTAATAGTGGTAAAACAGTTCAGATCAATAAAGTCACATTCTTAGTAACGTGGGTACATGAAGATCCGACATTGTTTCGTGAGGGAGGATAAAGTCAGGATCTAAATTTTAAGTCTTCCAAAAAAAGAAGGGTGATATGATGGCAAGAAAAGTCAAGATTAGATTGATTTACTTATTATGAGTCTTGTTCAACATTCAACATCCATTTCGATTCAATGTAATGATTACTCAATGTAGTATTTGTTCTTCTTTTCTCGTATGATATTTTATTCTGTATAATATACAATATTCTTGTATTCCATTGACATGAACTATTCTCAGTAAGTGATTTGTTATAACTGAATATGTGATTTCATCCTAATTATTAATCAAACTGTGTATAAAATCAATATATAAATGAGTGTATTTCCGACTAGGGTTGTCGTTGTCGTCGTCGTCGTGATTTTGGGGTTCATAAATCATCACTTATACCAGTTTGTGTTCTTATTTCCGTGTCATGGCAATTGCAGAGGTCCCTTGTTTCGAGTATGAGTGATAAGCGTTACCGACACAACAATCATCGACGACTAGTTGTAACAAGTAGCATTCAAACAACAAGACATATCAATATCAGTACTGAGATTAATTAGGATTCACTTTGTGGTTATTTATAGTTTAAATGAATAATATGAAGTGATAGTACATTCACAGGCGTAACTTATATCATAATTGGATAATTTATTGAGTTTAAAGTTTCGGCATTTTTAAACAATGAGATAGATTGAAATTCCAGTAGAAACATCGTTCCAAAGACAAAGTTATCCAACCAAGAACTTTTATAAATAAAGAATAAACTCCACTGATCAATGCTTCTCACTAGGACGAAACGGTCGTCCAGTGTTTCCAGGTTTTTATTAGTGACCTAGCATACATTGACTAATGAATTCAACTATAAAATTACTAAAATCTCTAAAAAGCCCCCTTCTGAAAGAATAAACTATCAAATTTTATTATTGTAATATCATCATTTAATAAGTAGTATGATTTTTCAACACTAAAAATAGATAAAGCTACGATAAATTAACTTACAAAAGTGTATACTTGTGGCTTTTTAACTTGAAGCACAATACCACCATCTGAATAAGGAAACTGAATGTCTTTTATAGACGTTTTGATAATCAACTCTGAAGGCGACTTTACTATAAATGAAGAGAAAGGAAAACAGGAAAGGGATTAAAAGTAATGATCTAGGATAGATAACAGTTTAAGAACATATGTGTTGTAACGTGTGGATTGCAGGTTAGATGCGCAGCGTTTATACCGATCGATTCTGTGACACGTAAAACACGTAAGGGAGACCTAGAGTCCCGACTGGTCCCGCTTCCCTGTCTAGCCCAGACAGTTGAGTCTAGAACACAAGTCACAGCCTCTGAGTTATGAATCGTTGTATTTCAAACATACTCTGTTTATGTACCAACCAAACAAACCACATCGTACCATAAAATAGAAAACATCATTTACACAATATTTAACAAGTGAAACAAACATCGACCAATGGGAAATGTACATTTAAGGTCCAAGGCCACCATAGACTTAACACGATTATCATTGGTATATTCCTCTGCATACCTAACAATATGGTATATAACATAACATAACAAAACGTCATGTGATTGATCAGCTTCCTCTATTAATACGTGGAACTAGAACCATCAGAATGCTAAACAATATATACCTTATTAGTATTCGACGACAAAATGTAACGAAAAATCTTAGAATACCACATACCTCGAATAGGAAATTCTCTTTCATTGAGCATTGGTAAATTGTTAAGTTCAGTGAATCGAATTACATCATTATTTTCTAAATGATGACGACGATCACCAAGAACTGTGATCAATAATTCCTCATCGTTTATCTAAATAAAAAGAATATAATGAACATTTGTCTATGTTTACTTGAGTGGATTTGGGAGATCAGTTCAAGGTCAGTCAGTTAGCTACAACGTAGAACAAGGCACATATATGCATCGGTCCAAGTTGCCACACCTCATTAGCACAACAAGATGATCAACAAATTCATAGAAGTAGTTTATTCAGTAGTGGTAATATATAAGAGAAAGATTGCACATAAGGATATAGTACAGGAATAAAGAATTAGTTGGTAGAAAGAAAGATATGAAGCGATTTTAATCTCTTAGTTTAAGGGAAGACAGAGAGTGCATACACCGACGTCATTGTAATCGATTCTGAGACATGTCACCAAGAGTCTACAACCGTTGGTTACGATAGTCACGTGGACCCCAACTAAGTAGTTTGCATCTACCAACGTGGCTCAGACTAGAAGTTAGTGACTTCAAGAACTGATGCCACCTTTTGTTTTGGCCACCCCTAACTTTCCTCAAACTATCCCCTACACCTGTTAGCATTGCCTGTTGTGGTAATCGGTTGTGGGGTGTGTGTAATACGTAGTCCGACCATCTCAGTCGATGAAGATCCACAACCTCATCAACTGATTTACCATCATTTCCCAATACCCTGCGTCTAACTTCACTATTACTTACTCAGTGATCCCAACAGATGAGAGCAATATTACTATGGTTCTGTGGTTCAATGTGAAGAGGGTGTGAATCACGGATGACATCAGATAAGAAACCAGTGAAAAACAAGGAACACTGAGCAGCCATTTCATCTTAATTCTGAGCTGTTAAAAATTGTGAACCATTGATTCTTGAAAAAATTGAGTCCAGAGCCTTCAAGTTGTGTGACAAGTTCGTCAGCTTTATATTTAGAATTTACCGTACAAAATGACGCTCATTCTTTTTCGTTTTAGTTCGTTCATTTATGTTACTAACTTTGGTATTAAGTAGTTAAGAATAAAAATAAAAATATGCATTTGCAAGATATTAGTAAGCTTAAGATATTTAAATCTTCACTGTCTTCGTGCTCGTTTCTGTACATGTTACTCAATAGGACTGATTTCGATGAAAAAATTATACTGCTATACCATGACCTTCATTAATTTCAATAACGTTGGTATGTCGTTCGAACGTGTAACTATTAAACTATTAGGCGGATATTCAACAGAACTGGAATTGAATGAAATAAGAAGACTAGTCAGGTAATTAAGCACATTTCCATAGTACGTAAACGAACGACCTTTTAAGCTTCTTCACTATTTCTAATTAGGTTTCAACAAGTAAGGTGTAAAGGAACATTTTTATTATGCTTTACGTTCATGGGTAAGTCACAGAAAAATTTCTGAGCATGAATCATTGTCAATGCTTGATATACGAAAAAAGGAACATATTACTGAGAATGAGTAATTTATAGCCCAAATAATATATAAATGCTTGGAATAATGCGCAGTTGTGCTAACGTCTACTATTTTATTGTTACATAATTACCTTTTCAATTTTTCCAATAAAAAATTCTCTACATGGTTCGTCATCTTGTGTTAAAACAGTAAAATCAGAGCCAAAATCACAAAATAAATTTCCAAATGCACCATATATATCTGTATAGATAAACTGAGAAGGAAAATAAAACAAAATTGAAGGTAACTAGAAGTAGCTTTTAAGTTGAAATTCATCGTAAACAATTCGGATTCAGATTATAACGGTGAAAAACTTACCCTCTGATACAATGAAATAAACTGTCTGACAATGATAAGTATATGACAATCAGCGAGCGTCGTCAGTCTGATAAGATCAAATCCGGTTCGTAAACTTTGGTTACAATCTGTTGACCTAGATGCTACAACTGGATCATTATTTTCGAATAGATTTGGAGAACCTATTGCCTCTCAATTATGACCTTTTCAACTACGCTGAAAAGTATGGGTGTGATGTCAACATACATTTAAGTTATTGATACGTAAAAATTATTAGAGTATCTAGAGGTCATTTGAACTGTTCCTCAAAGCGATCCTCTCACTATTTACGTCACCTCGTCTAGAAATTAATTAATACTTGATCTTCATCAACGAGTTTATTGTTACCTATTACTGTCCCTATTTCCGTCTCCGAGTCCAACTGCGAGAGGTGTGTTAGTTTCAGCTTCTTTGGATCTAGTAAGGCACAGACCATTGTATATGCACAAGATTAACCCAAGTTTTGTTACGGGTTCACAGGCGATCAAAACTTATTAAATGACTACACCTTGACCTCGGAAAGATGTTTCTTAGAGGAACATGAATGAGAGACTGTTAGCATTGGAAGCTATGTCAACCTAGAAGGGTGACCACATAATACTGAAGGGCAATAGCTTGTACCCTATCATTACGATATAGCACTCTTTGTAGACGGTGCTAAAATGCAATGATGAACAATAAAGCATTTAATTTTTTTAAAATAAGGAATAACAGTTAACTCACTTTAATATCATATGCTCTACAGAACAGATCCAACAATGTAGCTTTTTGAAGTGAACATTGTGTGAGTATCAAACACTAGGAAAGAAATTGGTGAAACTAATTATTTCAGTAGCAAATTTACAGTTAATTTAAATCATATACACAAGGGATAAGATTCTTCTTTTATTCGAAACACATAATTATTGGTACGGACAGGCACCAAAATATTTCATACAAATAACAAACTGACACCAGCTAGAGTAGCATTGAAAACTAGGCATAAATTGGCTATTCTGTTCGAATTCGGAACTTCTTAAATTCTGCCTCAATGATCTAAAGGATACAACGCTTTCTAAGGTGACTGATGGAGTACAAATTAGTCTTGACGACAGTAATGTGTATGCAATACCATCATAAAATAGAATAGCGCTAAGAAAGGCTTTTTCGTGACCAATTTTACAGTTTTTATATAGGAAAAATAAAACCAAAAATCTTACATCGACTTTCGTAGATGATCCTTCGTCGACTAATGGCTTTAGGATATTCTTATTAGCAGGTTCAGAAAGAGGGCAACGAATATCCGTCACATCTCCCGTTTCTAAAGTAATACGAACATAGGGATTTAAAGCCGTTAGACGATCAAGACTTGCTTCAGCTCTGAACGTTTGAAGAAGATAAACAAAAATAAAAGAAAGCAACACTGTTAACCGAAGCAGATTTCGAATCTGCAACCAAATCAAATATTTAAGCTAATGAGACAAATAAAAGGAAAAACATTTATAATTACTTGTTTTCAATTCACCAGGTGCAGATTCGTGTATTTGACTGCGAACCACACTATGTTTGGGGGATTCATGATACTATCTGGTCGCCTAAACCAAAAACAATGGAGCGAGGATTGAACCCGCGACTTAGTGGCTGAACCGAATGCCTCAGAAATCGAGCCACTGTCCCATTCAGTGTTATTAATGACAAACTACATGAAGCATTAAACTTAAAGCCAAAAGTACTAGTTTATTTGGATGATTTAGCTGGCGTGTCGTTCACTTTGAATTGGAAATATTAAAAACTGGAGGTTAAGACTTTATTTGCTATATTTCTTTTTCTGATTCTATGTTCAACTGAACAAATAATTGACATTTCTTTACGTTTTGCCTTCACTTAATTTTGTAATTTGAATCCAGAGTTTGCTCATACACTTGGCTTAACATTTAATATTGATTCCGAAGATAGGTTGACTGACATATAAATACAAAAACATTATTCTCGCTCAACCTCGTAAACACTGTGTATCTCACGCAAAAAATTGGGAACTGGTTCTTTTATATCTCTTAGGAAAATAACTGTCAGGTAATTTATTTTATTAGAGATGTATGAATGACAGCAAAGCCTCTCACAAAGTTTTATAAGCGAAATTTGTTATGAGTATGTGGCTTCTGGAATGTCGTTCAATAATGTTATCTTGTAGACCGATATACGAACTAATACACAACAAACGTAAGTTATTTCAATCGCTATCGAAAGTATTAGGTGAGCAGGTTTAAGAGTATCCTATGTTGGTGGATTCAAGTGTCATGAGTTTAACCGTGAATTTTTGATCATAAATAAAACTAAGAAAAATTAAAACGATCAGTCACAATTTTACCTAGTTTTCGAACCTTTAACACTATATTCATCCACGTAAAATTGAGTCCCTAAATCCTGTCTGGAACACAAAGATCGGTCCTGAATTATAAGTTCGCCAACTCCAGCCAGAACTAGATTTTTCGCTATTTGTGAAGCAATTACTAACAAAATAATATACCTATTTCTATTCCAACACCTCCCAAGCCATGTAAAAATACTTTGGATTTACACATTCTTTTCATTGCATTTTCCCCCAAAACACATCTTTGACGGCTGCAAGAGAAATATCATTTTACAGGAGATCAAACCTGTATAAAGAGTCATCGATATCACAAGACATGTTATGCAACGCACACATGAAATTAGCCGCCAAGGTCAGTAGGACGAATGGTTCTAATGGTCAGTCAGACAGTTATGTGAAGAATAAAGCTTTCGTTTAACTTGCTTCCGTATGTAGTAAAAGGATGCGTTTAAGTACAGAACTGGGTTTATTAGTTCAAATGGTTCAAATGGTTGTGGATGGAATTGAAGAAGCTTTCGCTTAACAGGCTTCCGTGTCTAGTAGCAGGGGATCACCAAATCCTCCAGGCAGGAACCTAGGTATGTTAACAATAAAAGAGGAAACGAAATTGGCAAATCATAGCGTGATGCTGTCCTTGGTTCTTAAGAATAGGTCAAGTTGCCTCTTGAAGGACTCCTGATAAGTCGCTTGGACTAGCTCGGCTGGCAGCGAATTCCAGCTTTTGACAACTCTTAAGGAGTAGAAGTTGTGTCTACATTCCGTCTTGCTATGTTGTGTTTCCAGTTTCTGGTTGTTACCCCTTAGGTTATTATTCGAACTAAGCTTAAGTAGGTGTTTAAGAGGATGTCCAGAAGTGTTAAGAATACTATAAGCCATTAATAAATCACCTCTAAGACGTCTATACGCTAATGGGTAAAGGTTTAGTCAATGGAGGCGTTCTTCGTAAGGTTTAGATTTGAGTCCTCGGACTGATTTCGTGGCTCGCCGTTGGGTACGCTCCAAAGTGACCTTGTCCTTTTGGAGTGAGGGGGGGAGTACTATGTTTCCGTACTCTAAATGGAAACGGATGAAACTATTGCAGATTGTATGGAAAGTTCTTCCGTCAAACAGTCCAAAAATGCGCTTCAATGTTACCAGTGCAAGGTTTGTTCAGAAGGCATTTTTGTCACAGTTAGCGTAAGACTTTAGGTCATGGGGCATCAGGTCTCCTAAATCTTTTTCGACTTCGGATACTACTCGAGAGGAGGTTCCTAAGTTGTAACTGTAGTTTGCGACATGTCGCAGATGGACTACTTTACACTTTGAAGTGTTAAAGGTAAGTCCGTTATCGTCTGCCCAACTTCGAAGTCGCGTCAGATCCTCCTGAAGTGCCTGTATATCGTCTTGGTTGCGTATCTCTCTCCAAAGTTTCACGTCGTCGGCAAAAAGTAATAAGTCTGACGTTACCTGTTGAGGAAGATCGTTTATGAAGATGAAGAAGAGAAGAGGCCGTAGTACTGAGCCCTGGGGGACCCCACTAGGACATTCCATAGCCTGAGATAAACTGAAATTAACTCTAACCTTAAGGCGTCGATTTTTTAGGTCTGAAGTAAGCCAATCGATTAGAGGTGGTTTGATACCTAGTTGTTTGAGCTTGTTGATAAGACACAAGTGATTAACCTTATCAAAAGCTTTTGAAAAATCAAGGTAGATGATATCAATCTTCCCCTTGTGATCAAGGATGCTTGTCCATCTGTCAACCGCAGTCAGCAGGTTGGTTATACAAGAGTAACCCTTCCTGAAACCATGCTGTTGGGGTGAGAAGAAATTTAAGGACAGTAGATAGTCGTTTAAACCGTCGCATATCAGGGACTCCATGAGTTTTGAAGGTAATGACAGAAGAGCCACTGGCCGATAATTTGAAGGTTCATTGCGTCGACCTCCTTCGAAAATTGGTGTGATGTGAGCCAACTTCCAATTTTCCGGTAATTTGCCTCGGCTAAGCGAGTGTGAAAACATCACGCTAAGCGGCGTTGCCAGGATTGAGGCTGCCTCCCTCAGTATGGCAGGATGAACCATATCCGGGCCAGGAGAAGTGTCAAGTCTTAAGTGCTGCAGTTTCCGGAACACCAAGTCAGCGCTTAGGTTCACTTCGGAGAGTCTTGTGGAATTGCAGATGAAACTGTCGTCAGTAAAGTTGATGTCAGCCGGTTGAAATGTTTGAGAGTAATGTGCCGCCAGAAGGTTAGCGGCGTCGCCATCGTTGTTGGTCGGGCCGTTAAGACCTAGCAGTTGAGAAACTCCTGTTGATAAACACATAAATATTCCTTACTAATTCATTCATTAGACCTTACGAAAAATACGGTGAATTTATCCGCAACGCAACCATGTAAGCTTAATGTATCGCCCAGTGTAATGACGGTCATCTGTGCGTTCAAACAACCACAGATTTTGTCATTTCATAATGTATTTTTAGTTAAATAACTAGATTATGTTGTCAAGTTTGCTCTGTTTCTAATTTTTATTCGCCACGTCTGACTGCGTTACACTGTACGTTCACTGCACGCTGAGATGTTATCCCAAGTCATAGTGAGTTTAATCACATACTTGATTGTTTCCAGATAGACCGTCAGTGCATAATGTTACTGAAGAAAGGTTTGTTGTACTGTAAACTATGTTTCTATGAACAACTGACTGTTGTCTTTAGTCGGAAAGCAATATATATATCCTTTGTCTTCTGTTAGGTAAGTTCAACTGGCCTATATTCTGTGTTTTGGCTTAATTATGTCCAATTAACTACTTTGAGCAACATGTCTGTGCAAATGAAACAATAACTATGACACTTGCTTAGTTTAGTATTCTTGGTTGTTGTATAATTCAGTTTAGTTGAAAGAATTATGGTATTCTTAAGTATAGTGCTTGAAGCCTGTAACGAAACAGATCAGTTTAGTAAGTAGAGTTGCTTGTTTCTAATGTGTATACTGATTCAGATCAGTCTGATTAAAAGTAGGAAAAAACGTGCCTTTGATGCTGTTGCTGTCATACATTATAAGATAGCGATAAGTATGTTTGTTGTTTATTTCTAGACTGTACACCTATCACTGACCATATTTCATTATCACTGTCATCAAACAATTTCCCCAGCAATTACATCGGTAGCAAGATAGCTATGCGTCTGAGCTTTTAGTTGCCCGCAAAACAGTAGTATACAGTCTTAGAAGATGAGTGTTCTGTGTCTCATTTTAATGTAGCTGACTGTGGACAAATGTTAAGAATCTTTTTGACAACTGGGACTTTTAGTTTATCAGACACTAACTCTACTTGTATGTCTTCCTGTTAAACTAGACGCAGATGCAAGGGAATACTTAAATGGGAGCAAAATAATAAAAGCATTGCAATACGGTACTAAGCCTATGTTATGCTTTGCACAAGTAATAGTAGCTGACCTTATCTAATATTCATGAACTCAAGGTAAATCACAGCTGCATAAATTCTTTGCTAAAAAACATGTAATTTGGTTAGTTATCTATTCCACATTTCCGACTAAATTCATCACTATTTTTTCATTTAAAATGCAACAGGAGTGAGTCTTCACAGGTCCTAAAAACTTTTGCCCGTAGAACTATGGTACTATGGAACTGGTTACGGGAGACCCAACTAACAGCAGATTATAAAAACGATGCTGGACGTCCAGTTTAGTCTCACAACCACTTCCAGTATTTTTTGAATTCTTTTACTCTTTCGTTTGGAAAAAACAACAAAAACTGCGACTCAACATTACCAATACAACTTTTAAACGGGAACTTGGATTACACCTTTGTTCGATATTCGACGTAAGCCGACCACTATTGCTTACAAAGATGGCGGATATATTAATTCCCGCCCCATTCTGATTGGTTGCTAAGCTGAAGGGCACATTTACGAAATTGAGTTGCGTTTAATTGCAGCTGAAAAACAGCTTCCTTTCAAAGCGTTCATGCTTGAGTAACTTACTTATTACGAGAGAGGATTGAAAAGCAGCCCTAGATAACGTTCTGTCTATCAATGTGACATTCATAAATTTCAGCTAAGTATTTGACAAGATTTCACACTTATATCTTATGCACAAACTCTCGACCTCCAGAATAATAGGTGATGTACATAAATGGATACGAAACTTCTATGTGATCGCAGACAGAGAGTGGGGGTAAATGGAACGCTATCCGACTGGAAGTCAGTCAAAAGTCGTGTACCCCAAGGCTTTATCTTAGGCTCACTATTTTTCCTTCTCCACGTTAATGTGTTACCACTGTTGCTAAAATAGTCAACATTATTGTTTGAGGATGGTGTAAAAATCTGTAGAACAATAAGTAGTGAGGCTGCATATTTTGATCTCTTAGCTGATTTAGATTGTAGTGACCTAGTTTTATGAACAGAACGCAATTGGTATAATGGAAACAATTATTATTATAACCAACTTTGCCAGTGATTGTTTTACTGTACTCGTTTGTTTAAGTGTACTCAAAACATACATTCTTCCGTTGACTGTGATCTTGCATGCACTCGCGTAAGCTCAGTAGTTCCGTTTGTAAACGTTGATCTCGGTATTATTTCGATACCACGAGATCGCCGACAAATATATCTGATTACAACCGTCAACTGCCTTCTGGTTTTGGCATACGAAGGAATCAAACCTAATATCCGGCACGTAATCTTCTGTAGTGGTGATCATAGTCAATCGCCGCCTACTGCAAGTTATATGGGCTCGATGTTGGAGCTTGAAATTTAATTCTAGAAAGATTGTGCTCATGTTCACCGGACTCGGTATTAGGTATCATTAAACTATTGATAGAACACTTCCTCGCGTTGAAGAACATAGAGTTAGGAGTAATAATAAGTTATAACTTGAAAACAACTACGCATCGCAACGCAGCTGCTGTCAAAGGTTTTGCAAACCAATGTGCCTTCAACAAACTAGTCATAGGCGGAACTAAATTACCACATGGACTTCACCGGATCACATTACAAAGAACCAAATCGACCATATCTGCATCAACGAAAAGTTCAGGAGTACGATGGAATACGTGAGAACCAAGAGATGAGCTGATATAGCAACAGATCACCACTTGCTGATCGCCAAGATGAAACTCAGGGAACATTGGACAACGGGGCTGACAACATCGCAAAAGTTTAATACGGCCTTTCTTTGGCATACTGACAAACACAACGAATTCAAGAAAGGGATCATGGAAGCAATCGCTCCAACAAGTCATGAGGTTCTGGGCCACAATAAGCACCACCACGAGGAATGGATCACTGTTGATACACTGGATAAAATTCAAGAAAGGAGGAACAAGAAGGCAGCAATCGGTATCAGCATAAAAAAGCAGAGAAAACCAAG